CGGCTCCTCGCCGCAGAGGGCCGCCGAGGTAAGAAGGTGTCAAGCGGTTGCGAGGCTTTGCCCGTCTTTAACAGTAAGTAAAATAAAAATCGCACTTTAAACACGAAAACTGCTTGATCTTAATCTGTTTTGTTTCTAAATACATAGAAAACGTATTCTTTCTCTGAATGCTTTGAACATGCTTCTTAGCCATGAAAAGAAGTAACTGCTATAGTGTTCTTCATTTAATCTAGTTTTCTTCCAGTCAAGTTTACTTCATATAAAAGCTTTAAGGAGCGAATCTCGAATTTCTGTGTCAACAGAAAGAGTCCTGTTGGGTTCAGGAAATGGTGAATCGGGCCTTCAGAGTAGTTTGCTTTCTTGTGTGCTAACATCAGTGATTTTAAATTGCAAGAGAGTTGTTAATGCTTCCTCTTACAGCTGTGGCTGACTTTGAACAACATTTGTTTGACATTATTTTCCTTAAACATCCATAATTTATCTCTGTAAAGGAGAAACGGGATGCCGTGTAGTTGATTTGATATGATGCAATCATGTCTTGTCAGTCCACCTTGAAGCATAAATTATCTGTTACATTCTGTATTCCTTTTTTCTTTCAGATGTTCAGGCTTTGAAGAATGCTTATGAGTTGATCAAATCAGCTAGTCAAGGAAAATCTGCACTTGACTCATCAGATAACTTCAGCACCGACTTGTATGTTTTATGTGCTGAACAAGCATTTCAGGTTTGGAATTTAGGCAGTTTATCTGTATTGAATAAAAACATTTATATGACATATTGTATTTACAGTTGTTAAAGTTACTACTTAAAAATATTCCCAGAAGTACCTGTGAAAAACATTACACTCTTCTGTTTTTGGAGAGCAATTGTTTAAATGTGCGTTTTCAGTTAAAACTCAGCCTCTAAATTACCACTTATTTATAATCAGTCAGCAAACTGTGGTTTGTGAAGTTTGTAATTTGACCAAAATATGCAAGGTATGCCATAGTAATATAAAATAGTTTGCCATGCCTGTTTTTTTGTGTTACAGAACACTAACATTAACAATTTGGTTATGACTCAAGAAAATGTGTTTTTGAACAGTCCCTGCTGGGCAAAAGAAGAAAAGGTGACATTCTAATTATGAAAGATTGTTGCTAATTGAGCTGACTTCTATAAAAAGTGGTAGAGGTTCTTAATTTTGAAGTATCTTTAAATTTTCAATCCATGGGTACAAGTGATTTGATTTCAAGCAGAGTTTCTAATAAATCAATTATTTTTTTTTCCAAGCTGCAAGCCACTCAAATTCTATCTGTTATCTGAAAATTGAGGTGCAGCACTGCCATCCATACAAAATCTGCAGGCTAATATCCGTCCTTTTAAAAAAAAATTCTACTAAGAATTTTGCCTTTATGTTAACAATTCTGTTAATGGCTATTAAAAAAGGAAACATTTTTTGTATACTGTAAGGGGTTCTATGGCTGAATGACTCAGGAGCTTTGTTAAATAAAGGAGCTATTTTTCTATACATTTGGAATGACGAAAGTCAAGCTTTAAATTTTAACGAATCTTAATGGGTTTGTACCAGATCTGATATGCAGCTTTATGGAATATTGTTTGCATACTGGTATGTAGTTAGGTGTTACACTTTGAGTAGGCATGCATTTTTAAAAACTAACAATTCTTAATTAAGTATTTGTTGCATTTTTAAAATATTAAAATGCTTTTTTTGGCCTTAGCTGGGATATCCGGAAATGAGCAGTGACTGTCTACAGATGTATTTTAAAGGAAGATTTCCTGTGAACCAGTTTCTTGGCAGAGCATATTTGTGTCAAGGCCAGTTGCACACTCCACTCTCTACAGATAATTTGGTGAGAAATTATGAAGGTTGCATTATATTAAGCCAGTTTTTAAGAGTATTTCTTCCTAGGTTTTTATGTATTGCTTTCAGTCATTTAAAATACACAAGGGTAATTAGGACTGTGGGAAAAATCAAAGGAAAATATATTAATGGGTAGTTTGGGACTAAACAAAACTTATCAGCTGAATTAGACTAATATTGCAGATACTTTGGGGAGGAAAAAAAAAGAATGCTAGCAAAATTTTTCAATTCTTTTAAAGTCAACCTTTTCACTTTTTACATCAATATGATACTTTCAGACCAAATTTAGCTGTAACTGGTAAAACAATTACCAGTTTTATTCAGGATCACACTAAGCATTTCACAGAATCATGGGAAATGGAGGACTAAAGGGGCCCTCAGAGAGGTTGTACAGTTCATTTCTCTTCTGTGGCAATGTGCTTCCACCACTTCCACCAGTAACCTTTCCATGTAGTACTTTGGATGTGGCTTTTCGAAATGAGAGATGAAGCTTTCTGGTAGCAACTCAGCAGGATACTTCCACTTCTAAAAGCTTCTGTGTGTTACTCTTCCGTGGTACTGTGTCTGTACATGATGAGCAGTTTTTACCTCCTGCTGGCATTGAGTGGGATCTGTTTTCTGTCTTCACTATTTCTCTTGTCCTCATACTGTGATCAGTCAGCTTTGACAATTTGTCAATGATATCTGACCCCCTAAAATGGCCTTAATAGGTGTTTGTGTTATTTGTGTTCGCAAATCTCCTTGGCAGATGTTGCTGTAGTTTCTTTGAATAATGTGTTTGAATTAACTTTCAAGCTAGAATCTTTTCCCTATCATGTTATCTGTACTTTCTCTGCCTTCTCTGAGCACATGTGCAGAACGACTAATCAGTGGTCCCTTTAAAACTTTGTACGCATTTGAAAAGTCTTTTCTAATGTCCAGTTAGCCTTTTATGTTTCTAAATTAACCAAACTATTCTGTGATGTTTTCTAAATCTCAGCCAAATTTTGCTGTTTTCTTCTTGGCTCTTGCTAACTTCTTAGAAGTTAAGAACCATCCCAGTATGTGCAATCCTAACTTGGTTCCCTTGTGCTGTGTGTTGTAATGTGCTTTTAAGCTACACTTTGTATCAGTTGTAAAGTTTTTCCACTGCTGTGTTCCTAGATCATTTATAAAGGTAGGAGTGACACAACGTGTCATGCTGTATGACTAGTAATCATCATTCACTTAGAAAAGATAAATTTGTCCTTATTTTGGTTTCCATCCTAAGGAGTCCTTGTTAGCTGATTAAGATGCTTATGTTCTTAAGGGCCAAGTGTAACTTCTCTGCTTTAGTATCTTATACTTCTCAGGCTCTTAATCCTGGTTTTCTATTTATCTAGGCAGTTCCCACTCATTGCTCAGTAGCCTTCTCATGCCAGTCCCAGAATCCAGTAAATCAATCCCAAGTCTGTTGGAGTTTTTAGTTATTCTGTTCTGTCTCACTATAGGGAGCCCTCCAGTGTCATCCCCTTCCTGCCCATCCACTTCCACCTCCGCTTTGCCATTTCCACTGCATCTTTCTCTTAGGCTTTCAAAAATCCCTTTTTATGATCCCATCCATCTTCTTTACACCCTCCCTTCAGGTATTTGTACATACTGATGAGATCCCCCGTGAGCCACTTTCTCCAGGCTAAACAGTCCCAGCTCGCTCAGCCTTTCCTCATACGAGAGGTGCTCCAGTCCCTTCATCATCTTTGCGGCCCTTTGTTGGACTCTCTCCACCGTGTCCATGTCTCTCTCACACTGGGGAGCCCAGAACTGGGCACAGTACTCCAGGTGTGGCCTCACCAGTGCTGAGTAGAGGGGAAGGATCACCTCCCTCCACCTGTGGTCAACCCTCCTCCTAAGGCAGCCCAGGACACTGTTAGTCACCTTTGCAGCAAGGGCATGCTGCTGGCTTGTGTTCAACTTGGTGTCCACCAGGACCCCTGGGTCCTCCTCTGAAAAGCTGCTTCCCAGCTGCTTTAATGATAAAAAGAGCATGCCTGACACACCATTCAGCTGACAAATTCTTGTTGGAGCTTTTCTGAAGAAAATAATACCTCAAGTTTTTTAATGGGACAAACCAATATTATTTTTTTTCCTGGCTTTGCTCTTGGATGTTTCTGAGCCTTCTTTGCTGAAAGCTTAAAAAGTATGCAGCTTTGCAGTTTTGGAAAATTTCAGTCCTGATAATTAAAGTTTAGAAGAAATAAAAGAAATAGTCTTAAATGAAAGACTATGGTGAAAATATAGTCTTAAAATTTGAAATCGGGAAAACATAGTAATAGTCAATGCTACTGATTTTTAGTTATTCTGTGTCTATGGCAGCAGCTTACTATGGCAGCGTGTTTTATTTGAGATTGGTCTGAAAATAAAAATTATGAGACGTGAACATACTGAAATAGGAAAATAATGTACTCATTTATAAAAGCCGTATTCAAATTGCATTAACAATTTTTTTGTTCTGTTCTAGGAAGAGTTTGAAAAGTTCGTGCTGTTTTTTATGAAGGCAATAGATTTTGCCGCCCATGATCGAAGGTAGGCCATACTGATAGGATTAACTCTTTAAATCTCAGGAAATGTTACTGAGTTAGGTTTTCATAGTTGTTTGTCTCAGATTTTCACTAGGTAGACTGGAGTTGTGTTGTTTGGGGTTTTTTTGCTTTTGTGGATTTTCCTTCCATTTTGTTACTGCACTTCTGTAACTGCTGTGAGTTCTGCAACAATATAAGAATACTGAACAGTCTTAAAGAGATGGGATGAATCAGCCTGTTTAAGGCTGGTAGGTACTCTGAGCATTTCTTCCTGTTTTATATTTATGCTCTGTAGAAAGAGAGCACCATGTTAGCTTATTTTAAGTGGTTAATTACTGGGTAGAGTGTAGTTGCAAGTTACCATATTCTTCCTGTGCTGTACTTTTGTTCCCAGCTCTTAGTCAGGATTGGTTCTTACCTAAACACATAGGAAAAGTTCTGATTTTTGCTTCCTAGAAGTGTCTTAAAATACTCTGTCTGTAATTTTATGTTTATCTAAGTCCATGAAATACTAAATGCTTGATTCTTGTTTTTCAGATACTATTTTTTGATATATAATGCCTCAGTTCTTTATTGGCAACTTGTGAGGCCATATCTTAAGCCTGGATTCCGCTATTGTCTTATTCCCAGCCTTTCTCAGATTGTTAAAGCGTTAAACCAAACAGAAGAGCAAGACAATGAATGGAGAGCAGAACTCATGATGTAAGTTCAATTGTATTTTTTCATATGGGCATTCTGTAGTCCTCTTGTACATGTGGCTGCCACCTGAGGTAGTCTTCAATAATGTATAATTCATTGGTAACATTGTAGATACATTTATTGTGGAAAGCTTGATTCATAACTTTTAAAGATATATAAATGTACACATCACATAAAAGGTGCTTCATTTTAATACTTACTTTGAGGTTAAAATTTTAGTGGCAGAGGCAGTTAGGCCCTGTGTCTGATCTGAATATCACAGTCATTTTGGATGTAGTGTTTGAGTCATTGCTTATGTGCAGTCCTTTTAAGTGAGGAGAAAGACAAACTCCCTTTTTCTTTAGAGAACTATTTTCTTCAGGTAAAGAAACATAACCTTTAAATAGATAAACAAAGATCTCTTCTGTCCTCTGATCTCTGAAGAGAAAGGAACAGCCTGGTAAGGTTGTGAGAATGTATTTAGGATACCTTCTAATTTCCTCCTTCTTCGTTATGAAGGTTTTATATATATTGACTTGTTATCTTTCTTACTATTTTTTTCCTCTTGTTAATCCATAACTGTGTGTTGAAGTGAGACTTTATGAAAAATCAGTGGGCAAAATACATATTTGTATTGCAAATACAACAATTAAGAATACCGAGATGAGTTGTCATCAGTAGTGATGTGGTTTTTATATGTCAGTCACATGCTTTAATGTACAATTTGGTACTGTATGGTTCTTATCAATGTAATTAGTTTAGATCAAGCTTTTTCCTTTCTAATTAGTATTATATCCAGTTTTCTTCAGTATTAAATTAAAGGCTGTCCCTGCTAATTTGGATATACTGCTTGGCCTAATATTTCAAAGCATAAATGAAATAGGTCTTTTTTTAACCAGTCTTATGCAAAATAAGAGCCCAAAAGTTATAAAAAGGAGAATAACTTGCATTAAACAAGGCTACTAAGATTTAAACCAACAGGTTTTCTTTCTGGGAATTAACGAAGGGAAATAGATTGTTATTTGAGAGTTAAACCTCCCAACAAGGTGAATTCACAGAATATCTTTAAGTATTATGCAAAAATTTTACAATTAAAAGTCTAATAATTTTTAGGGAAGAGATTAGTAATCTAGGGTTGGATAAAAATACCTGCCATATTTATGTCTGTCATAACTGAAATTTGTCAACCAATTTCATGTTTTATTTAGGAAATATGTAGGTTTTTCTGCATACATACTGTTCAGATGTGTGTATAGTGTAATTTACACAGAATTAAATAATTAATTCTAGTCAGAATCTTTAGCAATTGCTATTTCACTGAAGACAGTTCGTGGCTGAAGAAGTACGTTGTAATTATTTTCTCCATTTCAAGGACGTTCTTATTAAGCTTGACTGAAAGTCCTTATTGCTTGTATAAGGAAATGAAAAATGCAATGTGATTAAATGTAATTTTAAAAGATAGAATCATAGAATCATAGAATCATTAAGGTTGGAAGAGACCTCCAAGATCATCGAGTCCAACCATCAACCCAACAACACCATGCCCACTAAACCATGTCCCTAAGCGCCTCATCTACCCGTCTTTTAAATACTTCCAGGGATGGGGACTCAACCACTTCCCTGGGTAGCCTGTTCCAATGTTTAACTACTCTTTCAGTAAAGAAATTTTTCCTTACATCCAATCTAAACCTCCCCTGGCGCAACTTGAGGCCATTTCCTCTCGTCCTTTCGCCAGTTACCTGGGAGAAGAGACCGACACCCACCTCGCTACAACCTCCTTTCAGGTAGTTGTAGAGAGCAATGCTTGTATAAGGAAATGAAAAATGCAATGTGATTAAATGTAATTTTAGTAGATAGGTACAAATACAGTGTTTTTAAATAGACATGTATGTTTTTACTTTCTGCTATAGCTGCTGGGTTTTAAGTGACTGAATAAATTGATACTTTTTGATACATTGCCTTTAAATACATTTTTCCATAATGAGAATAGCAGAAAGGTACATGTTAATGTATTATGCAATGTGCTTAAATAATTATCAGTATATCTATTGAAAGTATCCCTGTTCATTTGAGCTATGTATGAATGGTCTCAATCTGACTTCCCATTGCACGTTGAATGGTGTTTATACGATGACAGCTGCACACTTATTTTCAGACATCATCAGTGGGTTGTTCAGATGGTAGAATTTAAATATTATTGTGTTTAAACATGGTCCTTCCTGCTAAGAAAAAATATGTGCAAAGGAGTTTTCTTCAGACAGAGTAGAGGGTTTTAGCAAAATAGTCTTGGAAACTATTTTCCTAGGAATATGGGATCCTAGTTAAAAGATTAGTTTTCCTTTAATTTTTTAGAATGTGAGAGCCTTTGACAATGGAGGTTGACTAAATCGCTTGAGTTAACAGTCCTGGGTTATAACAAAGCATACATTTTCTCAGTGAAAGGCCCCTGGTTCTGCCATCTTCACAGAACAGTTGAGGTTGGAAGGGACCTCTCAAGATCACCTAGTCCAACACTCCTGCTCAAACGTCTTGGTACAATGTAGTTGATATTTGTTGAGAGCAGTGTGTCATTTTTTTATGGAGTGGTTACATATATTTAAGGCTGATACTGGCTTCTTTTGAGGGTATAATTGTATAAATTATGTGTGTGCCCAGCTTATTTTGTCATTTTAATTAATCTAACCGAAAGGCTTAAATGATTAATTCCTGACTTAGATTAGATGTGAAGCTGTGCTGTGGAAATTTAGATCAATGGTAAATAAGATGTATAAGACATATGCTAATATAATCTGCTCAATGTCTGACAGCTGTTCACTAACAAGAAGAAATTTTATTGTTACAAATCCAGGCAAAAATAAGGTTCTAATGTTACTTTTGTTTAAATATAGTTGTAGGTTTACAGGTCTGATATTCAGAGTTAGACCTTTTGGCAGAGTTTCACTTGGGTTTAGAATCATAGAACCATTTAGGTTGGAAAAGACCTTTAAGATCATCAAGTCCAACCATTAACCTAACACTGCCAAGTCTACCACTAAACCGTGTCCCTAAGCACCACATCTACATGTCTTTTAAATACCTCCAGGGATGGCGACTCAACCACTTCCCTGGGCAGCCTGTTCCAATGCTTGACAACCCTTTTGGTGAAGAATTTTTTCCTAATACCCAATTTAAACCTCCCGTGGTGCATCCTGAGGCCATTTCCTCTTGTCCTATTGCTTGTTACCTGGGAGAAGAGACTGACACCCACCTCACTACAACCTCCTTTCAGGTAGTTGTAGAGCGCAATAAGGTCTCCCCTGAGCCTCCTTTTCTCCAGGCTGAACAACCCCAGTTCCCTCAGCCGCTCCTCATAGGACTTGTGCTTTAGACCCTTCACCAGCTTTGTTGCCCTTCTCTGGACACGCTCCAGCACCTCAATGTCATTCCTGTAGTGAGGGGCCCAAAACTGAACACAGTATTCGAGGTGCGGCCTCACCAGTGCCGAGTACAGGGGCACGATCACTTCCCTACTCCTGCTGGCCACACTATTTCTGATACAGGCCAGGATGCCATTAGAACAAAATTTAAAGCGTCTGAGCTGATAGTATCTGATTTGCAATCTCTGATTGCAGTTCATATTTTACTGAAATATACATTTTAAGAGAAAGAGTTATCTGTTGGATAATTTCAAGTCTTTGCTAGTGAGAACAGATGTTTCTGGATTGAGCAGCACATGTGGGCTGTCATGGTTTAACACCAGCTGGCAACTAAGCACCACTCAGCCACTTTCTCACTCCCTCCGCCCCCAGCAGGATGGGGCAAGAGAATTGGAAGGGTAAAAGTGAGAAAACACGTGGGTTGAGATAAGAACGGTTTAATAATTGAAATAAAATAATAATAGTAGTAGTAGTAATAATAATAATAATAAATTGTAATGAAAAGGAAAATAACAGAAATAAAACCCAAGAAAGACAAGCGATGCAAATGAAAACAATTGCTCACCACCAACCAACCAGTGCCCAGCCAGTCCCTGAGCAGCAGCCCCCCTGCCAACCTTCACCTCTAGTTTTATTGCTGAGCATGACGTCATATGGTGTGGAATATCCCTTTGGTCAGTTGGGGTCAGCTGTCCCAGCTGTGTCCCCTCCTAACTTCTTGTGCACCCCCAACCTACTCGCTGGTGGGGTGGTGTGAGAAGCAGAAAAGGCCTTGACTCTGTGTAAGCACTGCTCAGCAATAATGAAAACATCCCTGTGTTATCAACACTGTTTCCAGCACAAATCCAAAACATAGCCCCATACTAGCTACTATGAAGAAAATTAACTCTATCCCAGCCAAAACCAGCACAGATATTCATAAGTCTGTGGTCACTAAGGAAAAGTACTGTTAGAAAGCAACCTAGTCAACATGCAGACAGATTTATTGCATCTTCAGTATTTAATGTCAGTGAAAGAAACAGCAAATAATATCCAAAAACCTCAGTAAAAATAAATCACAAGAGAAATAATGTTGGTTGAGCAGAAAATTACTGTTAATGGGAAGCTTTAAGACTTAGAATACACAGTGGAACTGAACCAAGGGTAAAGGTATCTATTTTCACAAGCTATTCCAAAAGTTTAAGACAAGTTCATTACATAGGTACTATGTTGCTTCAAAAAGATAAACCTGACAGCTGCCATCTGGAATAATCCTGACAGATGATGTCTAGAGATATAGCACATACTTTAGGATTGCAAGGCAATTCAGGTGGGAAGGGACCTCATGAGATGGGTAATCCAACCTCCTGCTCAAAGCTGGGTCAGCTGTGGGGTCAGGCTTAGGACTTTATCCAGGCAGGTCTGGAAGCAGTCAAAGATGGAGACTGCACAACCTCTCTGAGCTGCAGCAACTCTGCTTGACTGTCCTTATGGGGAGAAAGTTTTTCTTTATTACCACTCCGAACCTCTCTTGTTTCAATGCACACCCATTGTCACTTGTCTTCCTGCCATGCACCTTAGTGAAGAGCCTGGGTCCGTCTTCTCAGTGACCTGCTTCCCTGTAGGCACATGCCTCCGCGATCTACTGTCTGTGCTCCTGTTAATACAGCCCAGGATGCTGTTGGCCACCTTTGGTTCCAGAGCACACTGCTGGCTGGTGTTCAGCTGGCTGGCCACCAGGACCCCCAGGTCCTTTTCGGTAGATCTGCTTTACTGAATTTTTTTGAATGCTTTCACCAGGCAGAAGGCCTGGGAGACCTTTCTGGTGAAGACTGAGGCAAAGGCGGCATCAGGTCTCAGCTCTCATCTTCTATTTCAAAGATTATAAGGAATACAGAAAGTTAGAAAATACGTATTTTTATAATACCCGATTCTGCTAGTAAATTAATTTGTTGTTGGTAATTTTACTTTTCGAACTGAACTGAATGTTTTTTCTCCTAAGCAAGATTAAAATGGAAGTCAAAAGAAAACCCACAATCAACCCAGTGCACTGTCAGTGCTATTATACATATTTGCATTATTACCAATTATTTGATAATAATTTGATAATAATTGGTAATAAATGGTGTATCAATATCAATGAATTACCATTCTTACATTTCCTGAATAAAGCTGGAGCATAAACCTTGAGATATCTCTACTGAGATAAACAGTTTTATGTGCAGGATGGAGTGTCCATGTAATTTTTCAAGGTCAGACAACCTTTCCTCAGAGATGTTTTGGTCTGCTATTCTACAGACCATTTCCAGTTCCTGTTACACTTCTGCCACAGTTTTTTCTGTTCTTTTTGTGAACTTTTCTATTTCTTTGGTCTATGACTGATGGTTTATTGCTATGCAGCATTTTCTTTATAAGCTGAAACTGGAGGGAAATAAATAAGTAACAAAACATTCCAAAGGGTATGCTAAAGGTTATCTAGTATACCATGCATGCATAGTTTTTTTTATAACCAAACATACTTTTGCTGAGGTATTGATGAGAACTAACAAGTGTACACAATGTGTTTGTGTTGTGAAACTAATGGTAGCATTTATTTTTTCTTACATTTGTATTTTTTTTTTGAATAATAATTATTATTATTGTTGTTGTTGTTGTTTTAATTTATTTCATAGAATCACAGGTTCTTTTTCAGTTAAATCAGATAAAGTATTGAAAATCCAGTAGATATGTTGCAGTTCCCAACATGAATAGTTTTCTTTTGCTAGATGGCTTTGAAATACTAGCCTTTCCAGTAGGTAAGGGAGAATCTTAGAATACATGTCACAGAAGTGTTTTTCTCATACAACTTTAAATAATTAATCATTTTAATTCCAGGTGTCCTGTTGAGAAGAGTTTTCACAAAAATCTCCTTTTCCAAGATCATTTTTGTGATCTGCAATAAATGTATGTTAACAGCTGTGTATATCTCCAGAAGAAACAAAGATGTAGAAGTTAGAGGATCTCTTTTGTGTTGAGTCAATGCTTTATAGCATTAATCGCTTGTACTGCTTTTAGGGGTGGTACCTTGAATATAAAGAGTTTCTTGAAAAAATATAAATAAGAATTATTTCAGAAAGCGTTAATAAATACTTAATACAAATATTTATTTGATCTGCAGAAATTTACTTGAGTGCTTCCTTGATGCTTCAAAACTGAAAGAAGCAAAAGAGTTTTCATCAACTGCAGCAGTCTTTATTAAGGAAAACGTTCCAGATAAATACTCTGAAATATTTTCTCTAATGGTAATGTTGTGTAATATTTTAAACTCCCAGTAAGACAGGAGCTTTCTCTATATTTCATAAGGTCATAGTTATAATTGTTAAATATGTTGTTTCCTTCATTTAAATTTTGTGAGCTACCAAATGATATAGTAGATATGCAGAGATTTTTACAATTTGTGTATTTTTGATACTATAAGCTAAAGAGCACCCTACTGCTCTGTGTTATTTTAATACAACATAATATCATCGGGATAGCTGTTGCTAACCCTAAAACTTCTATTTGGGAATAATTACTATTAACACTGAAGGTGTAGTGGGTGCAACTTAATCTGCCTTATGCCATTGAGCATATTTAGCATCTGTTGACTTTTCTCATGCTGATAAATACTTAAATGACCCAGCTCGAACCCTATAAATAGTTCTGGGAATCGGAGCATATGACAATAGTTCACATTTCTTGTATGCCCTTAATCTGGGAAATAAGAGGGTGAAGACTAATGTGGCAAAAGCAGAAATAGGCAAATAAAACTTGGAAGTTGTTGCATACAGTCGTATTTTCTTTCATTCTGTTACACTGTCTATTGTCTTTTTCTGTCCACTCCCAATCACTGCATTTCAAGAGCGTACATTTATAATATAAAGCTCTCTAACATTTGAATTAAGAGAACCAATGTACAACCTTCCAGAGGTGCGATATTAACGAAACAATAACATTTAGGCAAGGTTGAAATGACATTTGTATTTTTTAGCGGCAGTGTTGAGCAAAGCTATTTGACAGTGGCCTTAAACAGAAGAATAAAGTAGTTCTAAAATTGTTCTTGGGCTATGTGTCTCAGCAGGGCTACAGAAGTATGATCCACACTATTGAGTGCTTTAGTAACAGCGTAATTAAGTCCTGCAAAACTTATTGTTCCAGTACAGCTTAAGTAATCAGTATTGATTGCTATGGGCAGTCAGTGTGAGAGAGTCAGAAGGATGTGCACATGTTTAATGTGTAACTCCACAGTTAAATTGAAGTAACTACAGTTTATTGTCATTTCTTCATAATATTTTTTGTTATATATTTTATTTTTACAGATAAATTTGAATAGGGCTCATTTCTCATAGCTGGATGAGATGATTTCAGAATGAGTACTATCAAAAGGTGTTATTAAAAATGCATTAATTAGAATTCTAACTCAGATGTTAGTTCCACATTAAGATTTCTGCTAATAGTTCTGATCTTCACTATGTGAAGATTAGTATAGATCTACTAGGTGATCTTTGTGGTATCTATGCAGAACAACATAGATTATTGTAGTAGCCTCACTACCCTTAAAGTCCATGAAAAAGCCTCCGGTCAACACACCTGCTTTATTTTAGCCCCGTTGAGTGTCTGTCCTTTGTTTGCTTATTTAGTCAATTAATAATTAAATTGTTATTTTATAGGTATATCACAAGCTAATGGATATTTCCCAGGTAGAGAAGGAAATACAAAATTCCATCCATTTTTCAGTTATTTATAAAATGCAGATGTTAAAATTGTAAGTATTAAACTGTATCCTTCCACTTGTACTTTGATGCTTGATAGTACAGAGGTAGGGTCAGGTTCTGGTATCCAATATGCCAGTAGAAAAATCTACCACAAAGATTAGTTTCTCAAACGGAAAACTGTAATGACAGTTTGGGTAGTAACTGTCAGGCCTGTCTAGAGAACAGCCTCAGCTAAAAAGTGAGATAGGTCTTGGGGAATGTAGGGAATAGTGTGTTATACAGATATTCTCAGGTGAAAGAATTTAAGAGATTGAAAGACATTTCTGTATGCAACAGATTGTGGTTCTGTACACAGGTCATGTATAAGAGAGTAAAGATGAAGTGGGGAAATCACACCTAAAATATAATGCATGAATTGCAAGGATGGGAAGCATAATACTTTTTAAACTTTTTAAATTTTAAAGGCATAAAACAATTTTGAAAATTAGACTTCACAACAAAATCTCATTTAATTTTTTTTCAATGTCTCAACACTTCCTAATTTTAAAAGTATTAATTCTTTTCTTAGTAACAGTGGATTAATTTATGTTGACATTATAGGAAAGGAGTTTTGCACACCATTTTTCTTTATTTCTGGAATAAAATTTACTTTACCATCTGAAATATTAATTCTTATGCTGGAATGTTCTTTGTGCTTTGTATCTGGCTGTCTCTGAGTAACTTTGGCATACTGAAGTAGATTTTGTTGACTTGATTTTTAAATTTTTCTTTCTTTGATATTTCAAAATCCAGGTATTCCACTGATACATTGGACTAAGAGCCATCCATTCTAAAGTTAGGAGAGTTATTTCAAATTTTTAATGCAGTAATATTTCTTGTGAAAAATTATGATCAATTCCTAATATATTGCAGGCAGTGGGACACAAATGAATTTCCAAGTGATGCCACCGCAAATCTGAATTCTGTATATGTACTTTTGAAACAATACGATGTACCTCCAGCATCTGTTCTCAGTGTGAAGTGAGTTTCACTTGTCATAGCCCCGTGAAAGTTGATGCTGATCCTGCTTCCACTGAAGCCTGTCAAAATTCCCATTGACCTTGAAGAGAGTGAACTCGTACTTAGTTATAATAGTTTGTGTTGCGTTAATGCTTAGGTCATCTTAAAAAAAGACAAAGGTCCTATTAGGCTCTATTAAAGAACCCAAGATTAAATATCTTCTTCCATATAGCTGTTTGTATAACATGATTAAATCTTTCCATAACCCTTTGTTGTTGATAAAATGAGATTTTTAAAAGATCTTAGAATTGACAAGTGCTTTTCAGACTTTAGTTCATTTTTAGCTTTTCTTGGGGCCCTTCCCAATTCTTCAGCATAATTTTGAAATGCAGGCTAAACTGAACTCTCTATTCCAGTAGTTACATCACAGCTGTTACCTATGGAAGTAATATTACATTTTTACTTGTTAAGGTCAATGTTCTTTGATGATATCCAGGTATCTCATTACTTCTCCTATCCCAGACAGTACACTGTGCTCATTCGGTTATTTACGGAGATCCAAACATTTAGAACACAGTCTCCTACTGTGTGTGTTCTGTGTTCTTAGTTCCTAAATAAAACAGCCAAATTCATTGGTGAATTAAGTTGTGTGCCAGTTGACTGCATTGTATTTACAGAATTACCTGCAATCTTTGTTTGCTATTTCACCATCTTTGTGCTGCATACATTTCATTCTGTATTTTTGATGTTCTTCAGGAACAGTTTGTGCAAGACTACAGTAGAAGTATACTAATTATTTTCCATAAACAGATGAACTTTTGTATTTTTCATGTAGCCAACTATAATCTTTTTCCTTTTTCCTTGTTAACTGTGAGCATTACTAGTATAATCACATCCTCTAATATTCAGATGACTTCAAGGTTTTCAGATATATTGCACAAAGTTACTTTTATATAGTGTTTTTCTAATTCCGTAGAAGAGCAATATCAGATTCTCTGAAATGACATTTTTCTATTTTTGAAGGATTCCTTTGATTCTGGAATTAGCTCGTTTTTCTATGAAAGTAAACTGCATTAAGCTTGCATATGATTGTATACTGGATTTGAAGAGAGCTGGGATTACTGTAAGTATTAATATTAATTACGGTTGGTTTGGGTTTTTTTTTTTTTACAAACACACCCCCCCACACACACCCATTGTGATTATGCTTTAAAAACAATACTGATGTTTCTGGGATCTTCTGTCCATCTCTGTGTTGTTTATATATTCACTAATATAAATAATTACTTGGATAAGTGATCTGTTCCTAAACTAGAGGGAAGATGTAAGGTCAGAAGGTAGGGTATAGGTAGAATAGGGTAATTAGCAGTGCAGTTAGTTTTGGCAAATAAATGTTAACTGTGAATTTTTGCCTATGTTTTTCAAATGTTATCTGTGGAACAGTTTGATTGGAAGTTAAATGCTGCCTGCAGATTTTGAAGATTTAACCAGTTTACCCATTGAGATTGTAATTGGTCACCAAGATGTAAGCTCTAAAAGCAGTTAATGTTACATACATTCACTTTAGCCTTTATGAGTACAATATCAACCTTGCAGAACAGCATATGAATTCTACTTTTGATGAGGAGAAAACAGAACATTTGTCTGGAGCGTGATTAGGGGACTGACAGAAGGAGGAGTTAAAAAAAAAAAGCCCCGAAGTTGTTAACTTTTCTGGAAAGTAGGACTTCAGCAGTATAGTTCTGTCATAGGAGTGAGAAATCCGGAGAGGTGGTGCCACAAACTGCACTCCCTAGTCCTTTCCTTTGTGTGGATTTTTTCTGATAGTGTTTGTTCCTACAAATTTCTCAGTTTCCTTTAGTGAGAATGATTCATTTTCCAGCAAACTATTATTTGATTTATTATTTACTAACATTTAATAATTTTTACTCTTCTGTAGTTTTTTTATTATGTTACTGTAGGGGTATTCTTAGATTAAAGTTTTGTGTGGTCTTCCTAATAACTGGTCTTTCAACGTGTGTGCCCTTTTTGATTCTTACGTCCAGCTGGCTCTGAGATTTGTTTTTTCTGTTTCTTCCCCGTTGTCATGGTTTGACCCCAGCTGGCAACTAAGCACCACACAGCTGCTCACTCACTTACCCCCCTCCAGTGGGATGGGGAGAGTATCGGAAGGGTAAGAAAGAGTGAGAAAACTCATGGGTTGAGATAAAAACAGTTTAATAATTAAAAAAATAATAAATTGTAAGGAAAAGAGGAGAAAAAAAAAGAGAAAAATAAAACCCAAGAAAAGATAAGTGATGCAAATGAAAACAATTGCTCACCACCAACCAACCAATGCCCAACCAGTCCCCGAGCAGTGCTACCCCTCCGCCAACCTTCACCCCTAGTTTTATTGCTGAACTTGATGCCATATGGCGTGGAACATCCCTTTGGTCAGTTGGGGTCAGTTGTCCCAGCTGTGTCCCCTCCCAACTTCTTGTGCACCCCCAGCCTACTTGCTGGAGGGGTGGTATGAGGAGCAGAAAAGGCCTTGACACTGTGTAAGCACTGCTCAGCAATAATAAAAACATCCCTGTTGTTATCAGCACTGTTTCCAGCACAAATCCAAAACATAGCCCCATACTAGCTACTATGAAGAAAACTAACTCTATCCCATTGAAAACAAGTACGCCCATTGAGAAACAGAACTGTTCATCACTGTATTCAGAAAATCAGTATCTTTTTCAGATACAAAAATGTATGAAAAAGTGCCTGGTCGTGTTGTGATCCCCATGAGTAAGTTTTTAGTTATCTGAAATGTGCCTTTCAGGAAATATAAGTGGCAAATACAAGTGAACAAATTTCAAAGCGTATTTCCAAATTTCTATTATAAGGATCCTACTTTGAGTTACTTGTAATGTAAATTTTACTTATCCTCACTGATTTTTTTTTTATTCCAGGTGTCTGCTTCAGGCCCATTTTTTCTGAAAATTTCCCACAAGTCTAAAATCATACACAATTCCATAGCATTCCACTGGAAGATGTGTTTAAATCCCCTAGATCAAAGATTCACAAGGATTTAGTTCGAGTATTTGTATAGACAGTAATAGCAAGTATCCCTTCTGCGGCAGCAGTAGAGAAGCCTTGCTTCTATTTCAACCTTCTCTTCTCCTTTAGAGTTGGTGGGCGTTTAAGTGACCATCTTCAGATTGCCCGGCATTGTTTTGACAGTGACCTCTTCATGGTAGAGTGAAAGAAATCTGTATCAAGTTCCAGCTCCTTGGCTTTTGCCAAATACTGACAGATTTCTCAGCCATAACATGAATTCCATCTCTTTATGTATTTGTCATTACATGATAGTGGCAGTTCTACATTGATCTAAGTTTTTCAAGATCTCATCATTCCGGTCATGGGGATGTTAAATTAACAAAGGTCATGCTGAGTGATTTGGTAATAGTTCATAATGAGTGATGAATGGAGATGCTGTCTGGGTTTTCCTACTGCACCATATGAAACCAAATACAAAATATCTTAGATGATCCATACATATAATTTGTATGATTTAATAGCCAGATCTTTCCTGAGATGTTAAAAATCTAACCTCTTTCTTCACTTAAAAGTTGCACTACCCATCAAGATGAATCCTTTCTGTCTTGACTAGCTCTCCTTTATTCCAAGCATGTACATTTTTAATAACATTACTGAGCAAGAATCTACTAGAACAGAAATCAAATTACAGTATAGGAAAAATTAAGTGTACACTGGTTTTCTTATTGCAATGTCTGGCAATGAACAACTTCAAAAATCTTGGTAAAGTTATTTTGCATCTTTGACTTAGTAAGAAGTGACTGCTGTTCAAACAACAAATTCTACTCCCTATTTATTGTTTCAGTAAATTAGCTAGTGTAGTGGGATTTTCAGTAAGAAAGTACAGTGCTGTATTAGTGTAATTGCATGGGTTTAATCTTCATTGTGTTCCTTTTTAATTATTAAAATTGGCATTTTGTATATTAATATTTCATAGGAGCAAGGGAAGCTTATTGAAATAGAATGCCTGGAATGTGAATATGAAATAAAAAAAATTGGCACTAAAATTGTGACTTACACCAAAGGAGTTGTTGAGGTATGTTCTTTAACATTAACTTTGAGAGAAAAGTAAAAGTTTTAATTTGTTAAACGTGGAAAATTGTATTGGATTTGTGTGTCTTAATTACATTATACTGATCAGAAATTCTTTTAAACTTTATATTCTTTCTAATTGGGCTGCCAAGAAGAAAACAGGGAAAAATAAACTTGTATATTTCTTCCTTAAGTCTTCTGTCTGACTATAAAGTCTCATAATATATCACTTTCCAAGAGTAAAGATGGTAGCATTGAGGCATGCAAAGGCAACGCTCTTGTTTTCATATTTTACATTTATGAGAGGTGTTTTCATAGAATATCTCGAGTTGGAAGGGACCCATAAGGATCATCGAGTCCAACTCAACTATAATTGCATGTTATGGGCAATCTTATACAAATTCTTATGTCAGAGAAATGCAGATTATTCCTGATAAAATGTCACACTGAAGAGGATTTTCTTAGATTTCTATAGTCAGTTGACTCAGTTAAAATTCAGACCATCAAAAGTAGAAGCCTAAATTGTCAATATTATCAGCAGGATTAGATAGATGCCTACAATGAGCAATTTAGAATATCTATTAGAGGCACCTAAAGTTCCTAAAATGGGAAGTATGAATATGCTTCATGGAAATCAATAGTGTTAGTGCATAAACTTACTCCTATCTATGTCCATTCTCATTTTGGGGTTCTGAAATTCCATTCACCTTTTGAAAAAAAAAGTTCATTAATTCCTCATGATATGAAAGACTACTAATACTGCTTAAATAAAAAATAGGATATTTAGACATTTAGGTATTTCTAAATATTCCTACCACAGTGTATGCAGTTGGAGAATTTTTTTGTTTGATTTTTTCTTTTTGCTTTTTTTTAAATCGCATAACCTCTAAAAAGAACCTAATAATTAGCAAGTGTCTGTTACTGTAGGTAAGGATTTGCTTTTAGATTTAATAGGAACCAAGTTTAATTGATAGGAACCAAGATTTAATTTAACGGCAAATCCCATTCATAATATTTCTTTTTTTCCTCTCCTACACTGCATTTGTAGCTTAGTATAAAAAAAAAAAGCTAAGCCTTCTGAATTCACAAATATTTCACAATTATCAATTTCTGTTTATAATAAGAAAGGGAAATAGCTGACAGACTTCTGCCTGAAATATGTAGTAGCAGCATGGAGTACCTGAAAGAAATACTCCTTAGTTATCAATGCCTATTTAAAAAAAACAGTTTTTATTAAATGATTTTTTAAAAATTATTAAAAAACCCACAAAGTTTCTGAAGTCTGCTGGCTGAGGGACTGCTTTTTGTTGGAAACAGCCCTAAGATTAAAATTTGGAGGAACGTGTAAGAAGTTGTATCCATTAAATGCAATATGTGCTAATTAATTTTTCATTTGTGTAGGCTCAGCTGGAATTGATAAAAAATCTTGAGTTAACCTTAAAACATGCAGTTCAATTGGGAGATCCTGATGTGATTCAGGTTGTTTGTACAACCCAGTGGAATCTGTGCTTACCACTACTGCAACACAATTTGCATCAACATGTGCGAAAGCCATTGATATCAGTTGCTAATGTCCTTGAAGAGATTGACAGGTAACTTTCTATGCTGTGTACTTTTTTATTTGTTACTTTGAAAGGTCTAATGACCGAGCATCAAACTCATTTAAAAGCTCAAGCTCTATGATGTTAAACGTCTTTGAAAATTTTCCACTAGGTTGTAATAAATTAATGTCTGCCTATTGTGTACATTTCCTCATTAATCATTTAAATATAGGTTCCTTTCAGGCAAAATCTCACACTGTTTAATGGCCTATAGCAAATATTGAAATTTGTCAGGAACTGAAAGATACTATAGTTAATCAAAATTATGTGAGAAAATTCCAAAGCTGCAGTACGAGTAAGTGTGTTGGAATGTGGTTTAGAGGCTTGTATTAACATCGCTTTTGTTGGTTAAAAACATACAATTAAAAAATTACTTTTAAAAAAATCATGGCTTCTGTATTACTTATCAAATAAGACACTTCTTGCAAGATACTGTTTTTGTATCTTTGGTGATACTTCTTTTTAATTGAAAAACCTACTGTATTAAGAAATTGTAGATATATCCTTCTGTTTGCTGTTATGCTGTACTTAATCTTAAGCACCTAAATAGCTTCACCTTTTTCGTTAATTTGAGTGGAACAAGTAAACCTTAGTATGTGGTAGGTACTTAGTTAAGTTTGGACCTATACATATCAGACTAATAAGAACAAAGATCATAACTTTTGTAGTAGAGCTAATTACAGTCGACATAATCTGTCATTTGAGCAGAATGGTAGGTGGTTTTTGATAAAAGTATTACAGAGGAAGGTGAGGAATATCTTTTCAGTGTTTCTAAAATGTAATTTTTTAGTTGCATAAAGAGGAAACAGCAGCCTGAAGAAGCAGATATACCCATGTATAAAAACACTGTATTGTATTACTATACTGTTATTCAAGCATTTCTTATGCTTTCCATATAAAGAGTGCAATATCAGCATATGTGACTTTGATATTTATACTACATGTCAGTAATGACAATTTTTCTCTAAAAGCTTGCAGGTTAGGGTTTTTGGGGGGTTAGGGTTTTGGCTTTTGTTACCTGTATATTCCTAACAATCCAGTAGACTCAACATCAGCTCTGAGGTGGTACTGTCACTAGAGATTGAATGAAGTCACTTGTACCTACTAATTCGCCTATCTTCATTTTTGTTTTGATTGTAGCGTTAATTGTAACTGCTTTGGTCAGCAGTAAAAGGGCGATACTTGCTCAGTCAGGTTAGCTCTAATGTGGACATACATTAGTTCTTTGGCATGATATTTGATAGCCTTGAAAACCTTCCTTCTGTTCTATTTTTCATAACATTGCTTTCATTTATCTGATATTTTGTTTTTCTTCCTGGAAATAATCTAACGTAGCATGTAGAGTTCACAGCTGTCATGAACAGCTTCCTGAGGCAGGTGATGGATAGGGAGTATAGTGTGCCTGAGACTGGAGAACATGGCAGTCTTCACTGAAAACATACTGACTTCATAATGCGGTTTCAGCAACACTGGGGCAAAGACACTGCCTACAGTGAGTGTGTACGCCTATGGTGAACCAAATCTTTAAAAGTGGTGAGCAAGTATGATCAGGGCTAGAGTTTTAGAAGTACTAGTTTCTACTTAAATGTTACAAACAGTGAACTTTTATCAAAAGTGGCCATTATCCAGTACATAGTACTTTCTCTGGGAGTTAATACTTTTGAAAATCTGTTCACTTGATTTGGATACCTAAGTGGTAAGTTCAGTGTGGTACTGAAAAAGAGTTCTGCTAATACAGAAAGATCAGTTAGTCTACAAGATGTGTTGCTTCCTCATGGCTGTGTTTTCTCATGCAGGGTTAATGGAAGTAAAATGCAGTTAAATTTTAAGTTATTTTATTAAAAAGGCATGATAGTGAAAATGAAAGAGACAACTAAGTTAAGAAGGGAATATCTATTTTCATACTGGAGTCACTTTTAATTATTGAGTTTCACTTTTGGGTAATTTTTAGGGTCTAAGAATTTTAGTTTGCCTCATTTTAACAGTTTACATTTAAATTCTTATTCCTTAGCATGTTGGTTTTGTTGCGTTGCCAAGTTCATATGGAAATAGCTCGTATTGAAGAAGATGGGGATAGAATAGAGGCTGCTGTGGAACATTTGCAAAAAGCTATACATCTAAACAACAGTGGGCAGTATCAAGAACATCTAAGATTGACTTTTAACCGTCTTCGTTTGTGCACTATGCTGTATAAGTCACCTGAGCGCCTAGAGGATCGGGCAGTAATGATGATTGAACAGGTAATGATGAAGAATAAGGTCAGTAGCTGAAATAGGTTTGCCTGTTAAATTCTGGCAGAGGAAAGCCAGCTGTTTAGTAGAACTGCATATTAGTAGAGCCAGCATCAGCTTGCTTTCAGCAAATTGGCGTTGGTTGGATGCCTTGAAAAACTCTGAATTCTCTCTATGGTGGTCATGCTGCTTCACACTCTGAAGATTGCGATAGAGAATTTTTTCCAGTTATGTTCAAAGCTTATTTCTTGGGAGGGGAGGGGAAGTTAGTCATTAGCAAAAATGTCAGCAAAAAAGAAGCCTATTTATAATTGTCAACAATTAAGATTTCATTGCATGGAACAGTGTTTTAATTAATGAGAGGAGCAGTGGCCAAATGGCTAAACATCCTAGCTGACTTTGAGATAAATCAGTATTATGTCGCACTTACAAATGACACTAAATAATATGATCTAAAGTCACAGTGTAGTCATTGTTAAGAGTTACTGCATCTAATTCTGTTGTGGTGCCTCAGCACCTGAACAAAAATCATATTGGCAACTGATTGTTAGTTGGCTGAAAGAAATTTCAGCTATGCACCATTTTGGGACATTCACGGAAATTAAGATGTGTTCACTGAAGCTAAAATTGGTACTGGAAAACTGCTGGTGAGTTGACATGTCTATTGTTAAGACAAAGTAAAGATTTTTTTGTCTAGTTTTAATGCTTTTCCATGCAAGCTTACTCTGTTTAAATGTTATTTTAAAAAAAGCGCTTACAGCTCCTCTGACTTTGGCTAATTCTGAGTGGACTAGGAATGTTTTATTTTTTGTAGCAATTCCTAGTTACTGCACAACGGATACATTACGTTGGTTTCTAAATAAATACTGTTCTTTATTTAAGAAAGTATGACATAATGACAGGTTATACACTGAGGAATATACTGTAAAGATCCATGAGGAGCATGAACAGTACTTTGTATTCAGTTATCTTTGATGTATTCATGTCAAGATCAACCAAAGTTCTACAGTCACTTTCAACAACAATAATACTGCAGAATAATGTGTAAGATAGATGAAGATACATAATTCTTATAGATTTTTTTTTGGTAGTACCAAGTTCTATGATCTGCATTCTGCTATGTTTAGTAAATAAGATATATAAATAGGAACATAATAAAAATGAACCTTACAACAATTAGTTCTTTTCTTTACGTAGGCTAAAAGGGGAAAGCAGAAGGATAATGTGAGGAAAAAGAGGTCTCTTCTGGTAAATGCAGGTCTTGCACTAGCTCCTGATTCATTTCAAATAGTCCTTGACAGTGAAAATGAAGCTAAAGGTAACGTACATATGTGTGACTAAAAGTTACTATACTTGACTTTGACTGCTTTGCACAGTCTTAAAGGTTGGACATAACATCTAGTGGGAACATGTAGAGAATATTGCAGTAAGGTGAAGTGACAGTTCTGCTGAATTCTGTGGCAAAGCTCCTACCGATTTCATTAGGGATCTAAGATTTATATTGTGATACTGGAAGAGGAAATGTTAATGTTTTCCTCTCTGAATTAATCTGAATCTTATTGCTGTGCTGTAGTGTGCTGTAAGTTGTGCTGTAATTTTACTTTCACTATGTGCAAGTCCTGAATGTTCTTGCCCAAGGTCAGTTTTAAGTGGTATTTTCAGAAGTTTCACCCCATAATATTCTGTGTTGATTACATACAATATTGGGTATTCGTTCTATATTGTAATTGCTTTCTGTTCTAAAATCTTGCTTTTGAGAGATCGAGTTTTGCACAGAGATTTAGGCATGAAGTCATTATTTACTTTCTAAAACATGTATCATAAATAGGCATGTTCCTTATGCCACAAACAGCTTTGGTTTGTGACTATACATCCTGTTGTTGAGGAAGAGTGGAAGGGGAACGGATTTTCCAGATTTGCAATAAAGCAAGCGTGTGACTAATTCAGCTAACTTTCTGAGTATACCCAGTGTACTCCCAGGGTAGAGATGATGCTGGGGGAAGGGAATGCTACAGACGGAGTCCTGTAGCTTCCAAAGCAGCCTAATCGTGCCATGGAAGGCCATACAGTTCTCTCATGCCATCTATTCAGCCAGGCCAAAATGTTTACCTTGCATATTCTCATTTCAAACTTGATTAACTGATGACTTGCAAGAGTGTTGTTTACAGAATCAACAATCCCACTTCGTGCAGTACATTTAAGTATGTGAAAATTATTTTGTTGGAAAACATTTTCATACATGATTTAAGGTGATATAATGCATTGTATTTGTGCAATGAAGAGAATTAAAAGCATGCATGTATTTCTACTTGCTCTTGAATTTTGAGTTGACAACTGTAAAATTATATCCAAACTTCCTCAGAATCAATCTTACTACACATTAGCCTTCCAAGATAAGCCATTAAAATGAGTGAGATTATCACAATATTACAATTATTACAACACTTTGTTTGACACGGTTTTGTAAAATTTTGTTTTGAAAGATTTCAGTTGTTCCTGAGGCTGTCACCCAAAGAGTGAGTTTTTTTCTTTTTCCATGACACTTGCATTGCAACAAACTTAAACATGTTTATTGAAGGAGTAAGAAAATATATATGCAACTGTATTATTAAAATATACATAGGACAGGACATGAGATTTGTAGAGTTATATTTTCTTCTAAGTTGCATAAATAACTGTGCGTCAGCATTTCATTCTTTTTTGATGTATATGCTGGCCTAATTTAGTGAGAGTTGTACCCATAGATCCAGAGAACAATGTACTTTTTTAATCCACAATTCTTTACCCTACAACCTTACATGATATTACTGTCATTCTGTATTATACTGAACAATTTCTGTCAGTTGAGCTATGTGTATAGTTAGGTAACACAGCCTTATCAAATGTTGGATAATGCATTGCAAAATATTTTTAACAAGAATGGTAAGACACTATGCCTCCTCTTTTCATTGTAGGTGAATGTAGGTGAACCTGCTTATATATATATTTTAAAACCCAAAATAGTTTATATGTATTTGCTGCTATTATTTGGCAAATTTTTTGAGGATCGAATTAAAACTTACTCAGTCTGCATTATGGTAGGGACCATCACTTAGTGATGTACAAACTCATCGGATTTCCCAGTCACATCAAGTTACTTGTATTCTGATGCAAAGCATCTCCTCTATGTCATTACACTGCAAAAAATAATCTCTTTTTGATGTATCAGTACGACTGGAGTACTCTTCTACCTCAGGGGGCAAGCTTATTCCTCCTTTGCATCATTTTTCTGCGTTGGTTATTTCTTTGTTTAATATTTTTGCCCAATATCTTGTTGACTAAGTAGAACAAAAGTCAGTATTCTCAAATGAAAACAAAACAGCAAACTTTAATATTGATTGAAAATGTGTTTGATTAGATAAGTGTTCTTAAAATTCAGCATGAATGTGAACTTTACGTATTACTTCATCCATTTACTCTGAACTGAGGCTAATTAGAGCAATGCATGTCCTGTCAGAAAAGAGGTGTACTTGAGATATTTGGGGGCCAAACAAGCATAAATCAGTTTTTGTATGGGACAACTATATCTGAAGATACAGGAAAAACAGAATAGATGCTGGTGGGGTGTGGTTTTTTTCATGATGGTTGGTTGGTTTTGGGAAAGCTTGAAGGACTGAAAAAAGGGCTGGATTTCAAGTGTTTCAGGAAGTAGTTATGAATCAAACTGCATACCCTTCATGTGGATTTTTTCGTCTCTAACACTTAAAAATTGCCTTAAATTCCTTTTTCTTTGCTAAGTTTCCTCAGGTAAAAGTAGGAGTCAAATAAGCTACCTCTGTGCAAAAGCACAACATCATATTAAAAGTGTGGAGAAAGTTGATGAACATTTGAAACACTTAAGAAATGAAAATGACAGAGAGAGGTAATTACTGTAGACAAGAAGCATCTCTTTCGTCTTGTGTAGAGGTCTCTAATGGGAAAGTTGCTTCTTGCAGCTGTTAAGTTACTTGATGATACATTGTAAGATGCTGAATACTTCAGTCAGACCTGGCAGAGCATTTAAACATGTGTTTAACTTTATGTCTGAAAAGTTCCATTACGTTCACATGCTATGCATAATTGTATTCTTCCACTGTTTCTAATCCGCTCTTTCACATACACACATAAACTCACCTATTCTATTGATATGAACTGAACACAGAAGAATGAGTGGATTAAGGCTGGAAGACTGAATAACGATGTACAGTTTAAACTTTGCTGAAGTGTCTTATTAGGTCCTTGTACCACATTGCATGCTACAACTTTTTTCATAAAGAAATGAAGTAGTCCATTCTGGGAGTCAGAAAGATTAATCTGTAGGAAAATGACAGGTTTTGTTTTGACTATTTGTATATCATTTTATCATTCTTTATTTAAAAGGAGGTGTTTCCTTTTTTTTTGCTGCACTAAAAATTCCTGTGATGAAGTTTAAACTAAATTGTTTTCTAAAAAATTCTAAATCCAAACTTGTTTTCAAGACTTATTATGAAATTCTCAACATCAGTTCTGAAATATTTAGTTTAGTTTATTTTATAAGATAGATAATTAGGGGTGTCACACACATTTTGAAATTTCAGTATAGTTACTATCCAAAACAAGAATTTTGTTCCACTCTTGATATGCTGAGGGGATTTTTTTTTTAAATTAATAAAGTAATAGTGTTATCTTTGCTACTGATAAGAAGTCTTTCCTTCATTAATCTTCATTAGATTTAAAATTTTATTTATGATGGCCATCATTGACATGATTTTTTTTGTTGATCCTGAAGTGTGGAAGATAATCCTGCTTATAAAGTAATTTTATGTATGTTTTTTCTTTGGTAGAATTATACTTTGGGCAGATTTGGCAAAAGTTGCACGTAAACAAGAAGTATGGGATGTCTGCCGTGCAGCATGCAGATTTTGTCTCTTGTATGATGAAACTTTGTTTAGGAGGGTAACAAAACCTAAAAAAAGTAAGTGAACAAATTCTTTTGAATGTTGTAAGAGGAACTTTTTCCTCATTTATTAGAGTTACTTGAAGGAGTGAGCCAATATTATTTTCTTCCCTCCCGTTCCCAAAGTTCCCTGAGACTTGTCTGTCTTGGCATACATGGAATATTCTTTCTACCTCTGAATCTAGAAAATCAGTCAATACATTTTTCTGTTGAAACCATACTTTGCCTTCAAAAGTGTTTCACCAGTGCTAAAGAAAAGTACTTACATGAGATGTATCTACCGATCTAAGAAAATAGGTTCATTCCCTAATGGTCATCTAGGTCTGTATTATCCATCTCTGTCATACTTCATTACCTGAGGAAGCTGAAGAAAGATGGATTATCAGTAATTTTGTATGAGGCACATGTGGTAAGATTTTTTACCCTTTATGCCCTTACTAGTGGTTCCTCTGAGGTATCTGACATGGTTTGTGCCTTGTTCCTTGAGGGTCTGCTGAAAACCTACCACACGCGTTAAAAGAGTTCTCAACTCTGGGAAAGAGCACTTTCAAACCACTAGCTGCTTGCTGACTTTTACGTATCTCTGTTAAAGGTTTTTTTTGCCTGGGAGTTTGTAAAACTCGCATTTAAGAATAGATTAAATTCTAGTATACACCCTGTTGGCTAGTTTTTTTCTCTAGCCAATGTTAATTGAACCTATTCCACATTTTTTCTCTAGATTGTTTCCAAGATCCACTTAAAATAGGGCATTAATTTACCTGTTTTCTTTCACAAGTTTTGCATCTCCAGACTAGCCATGTTTCATCTTTCATCTCTTTTCCAAACTAAAGGGAAAAAGAAGCACTTACCAGAAACTCAGGGCAGCCATGCACTAAAAGCATCATTAATAGGAACTGGTATGTTCTTTTTTTCTTTCACAAGTTTTGCATCTCCAGGGTAAAGGTGTCTTTCTCATGCTCTGAATGTTTACAGGGCTTTAAAATTCTATCTGTGTCAGTCTAAACACGTTTCCTGGGTAGGCAGGAGACCAAGACATCTCTGGTCAGAAGTGTTTCAAATGGTTCAATCAAAGTTTGTTACGAGGTTGCTGAAGTTGGACAATGCTTTCAGAGGTAGACCTTCATCAGAAATCAAACAATAACTGTGACCTCGCTGAAGGTCTCCATTCTCAAGAACTGTAGAGTGGCCTCCTGGAAACCCATTCATACTTTCACTGAGTGCTGCATGTTTCTGTAAATGCAAAGGAAACAATGCTGCATTTGGTGGAGCAGTTGAAGTAATCTATTCTGGGCAGTTTCCAACTGTGGGAATACTACTTGTAGTTAAATGAAATGTGAATAAGCTTGTAGATACTCAAGGCAGGAAGAGAAATTTATGATTGGCTGGAGTTCTCTGGGAACTGTTGGCACCATTCATTTTCATATACAACTTAATTTTTCTTTACTGTTACTAATTCTAGGATTAGTGGGTGAGAAGAATTATATATTGAGGATAGGGCAAAGATAATTGTTGTAGTGTGAAGACCCTCTACAGAGGCTTGCTGGGTTCTCAGGCCTGAATAAAGGCAAATAATTCAAGACGTTCTAGAGTTACAGAAAAAGAACATACCAGTTCCTATTAATGATGCTTTTGGTGCGTGGTTGCCCTGAGTTTCTGGTAAGTACTTCTTTTTCCCTTTAGTTTGGAAAAGAGATGAAAGATGAAACATGGGTAGTCTGGAGAAAGTAAATACGTGTGATAGGTCTAGGAACCAGGAGCAATCCAGTCAAATTATCAGACTGTAGGTTTTAAGAAAATAAAAACATTACTTTTTAACAGAAATTAAAAGGTTATTTTGGAATAATAAATACAATTTAAAAAATTAGACAAAGACTGGTAAGTTAGTTTTATCGAAGAGTATTGAACTTGATGGGTCGAACAGAACCTCTGGTTCAGGAGATTGCTTGGATGCAGATTCTGAAAAACTGTGAAGATAGGCCAGGAAAAAAAGTAGCTTCGTGTATCCTACTTTTTATGCCTTTCCTCAAACACCCACTATTGGCCAACAATGTAGAGGGAACCCACTGTGACAGCTTTTATGCTCTTACTTTTGTGTTTATATTAAAATAATCTTGGTCCTTTCTCTTCATTATTAAACCAAAGAAAAATAATGCATTCTCTTTATTGATGTGTATATTGCCAGAAAGTCAACCCCATCCATGATTTAAACACTGAGATTTTAGCCACTACGTAATGTCCAGTGCTCCACTTCCATTGAAGCAATAAAATTGAACTAGAGGCCATGGGTTATATTCATATTAACGTAATTTCAGTATGCATGTTATGACTGGAGCAAGTTATTTGCTGCAAATACTGAAATTTATGCACAAATGCAGCACAATCACAGGTAACCAATACCTCAGCACTGCTTGAGAAGAATGGGGTTTGAGTGCAATAAATTGTACTGATGGAAAAAAAAAAAGAGTGAAATAATTTTAAGTCTGTACTTGTTAACTCTTTCTTGTAGATTTAAGAATGTGTAGGAAAAAAATTTTAAAATGGTGATTTTTTTTCTGATTTGCCTGGTAATAATAATGGTTTTATTTATTTGTTTATTTATTTTTAGCACAGAAGAAGAAAGCTAGTACAACTATGATGGATGATGATCAAGGTGACAGTTTACCAGGAGAATCATTACTACCTGCTAAATCCTTCTCTTTTGAAAGAGATTTACTGAGAATATTAGCAGAAATAAGATTCATTAATGCAGAGGTAAATAAATTACACAGCTGTCATTCATACTTGTTTCATTTAGTTTTGTTTTATGTATGATTTTATGTATAAATCTTAAAGCACTGGAATTTTGAGTTTAATTAATCCTGTCTACCTCCACAGGAAGTAAAGGAAGTAGTAGTTTCATGAAGCATCTTTATCAAAATACTGTGTGAAAGTAACTAGAGCAATAGTTTTACTGCAGGTGGTGATAACACTTTTTTACAAGGGATTCTATTGTAAATGTTTGACATGTGACACATTTCTGGATCCTTAAAGTTCCAGCATGATTAAAATATATATATATATATTTATATAATAGATAGATTTTTTTCTTAATGAAATTATTTAGTAAAATTAGCTGTAGACAATTGGAAGTTTATGAAGTGTTTTACATTGTATTTCATACAGTTGTACAGGCCTGTACAACATCTGAAAAGCATTTTGTATTTTTTAATTTTTGAAGAGGTAACAACACTAATACTAAATCACAGTCTATTTTCACAATGATAACCTGGGTAGAAAATTTATTTCTCTGTATCTTTCCAGGCAACTGTTCATTTATTAAGATTGCAGGGAATTGAACTGAATGATCATGCTGTACCTCCAGAAGATACAAGCCAGTATCATCCAGGATATGTTTCATATCTTCCTGAAAGTGATCCAGAATGGAAAACATACAGGTGCTTTTCTTTAATATATAACAAGACCTAGGAACTCTAGCAGATTGTTATTATCACACACAGATGATAATTGCAAAAGTTATTTCTTCTTAGTAAAATTCATTGTCACCAGATGCTTCATATTTTTAGGTAGTCATGGTAATGGGAAAAGGAAAAGAATCTAAAAAAAACCATTTGAAATAATTTTTCTTTAGTTTGCTTTCATTCTGGAGTATTCATTTTATTTTTCATTTAACATTTATTTCTCTGAAACTAGAAGCTAGTATCCCAACCTTAAAAACTATTAAATCTGTGTTATATTGACATTTAGACCATGAAATTCTATATTTAAAAATATGTTTCCCCAAATCAAAAAACTCTTTGTCTGGCTTTATAGCTCCTGTAACTATAATGACATCTAAGTACCCGAATACATACAATGAACTACTTCAGTTTGCAAAACCAGTCTGTTCCATTCAATCAACTGAAATGAATAAGGGAGAGTAGAACATAGCAAGTACAGTTTTTTTTCTGGTCTCACACGATTATTTCTTGCGAAGGAGGAGAGGGGGGAGAATTTTGAAGATGATGTTTAAAATCTCTTCTGTTCATATTCATACTGATATTAGCCTTATTGTGACAGTGGTCATGTCCTGAAAGAGTAGGATGTCAGAATTGTGTCCCTAAGTCTGTTCATTAAGTCTGAAGATTAAGTAAAGTTTCTCACACTGTCTGCTTGCAAATGTTCAGTAAAATGGGAAAAAGTATAAACTGATCAGAACCAAGGGACAAAGATGAGGATTCTGTTCCAAAATTTGCTACTAAGCTGTTTTTGAGTTTATCCAATTAGATTAAAAACTTGTAGGAAAAAACCACTTTGATCTACTGTGTCCTGTACCATTGTTGACATAGTAATACCCTGTGTCAGTTTGTGCTTTTGGTTTTGTGACTTAACCATGGCCATTCTGTATGGTCATTCAAGACTGTATTTTTAATATTGCTTTTTCTAAGTAATGGTACATCTCGATACGAAAAAAAAAGAAATAAAGTTATTGAAAGAAAGTTATTGCATGGACTATGAAAAAGATGTTATTCTATTAAAAATTAATTTAGCATTTCAGAACATCTGGAGATATCTTGAGTGCAAGAACACATGCAGTTGTTAAGTGAAGAACACTCCTCCTTAACACTTGAGTTGAATGCCTTACTTGCATCTGTATTCAAGTAGAGCCCTGTCATGGATATGTAATGTTTTCTAGCACTGATGTGTGGATTCACACATGCATTGTAAAAAACCATGTGGATGAAGCATGAACTAAAGCCGCTATTTTTTAAGCTAATAGCATTTGAGTGTCAGAGACTATTCATTTTATGTTGAAACTAATTCCTTTCCTGAGTCATCTCATCCAAGTAAAATATAAGTTAATGGATGAAGACTTAATAAATGCAACTAAAGAGTAATTAAAAAAAATCTATTGTTGTTGATTGAGATGTACTACTGCATATTTAACCTTGTGATATAATTCCTTCTAGTGTTGAAATTTTGGAATAACAGCTCCTTTATACTAATTTTATAGTTTATGGATAGACTACTTATCTCAGTACGCTATGGAAAACTTCCAACGTGCAGCCGAAATAGGAGAAGAATTGAATGAAGCCTGGATTGTTCACAATGCTGTGGTGTATATCTTAAACTACAATAGACATCTTATCTCTTCAGGAAGACAGAGGGAAATTATTGAATATCTGCAGACTCTTCTTGGAGCCATCAAGACAGTTGGGCATAATGGGTAAACTTAGATGTTTGGTTATGAACGTGCTCTTTTTTTTCTAAAACAGAAAAAATATTTTTACAAATGTTGTCAATCACTTCGTGTTGTGAAAGACTTGTTGCTGGCTTTTATTAGTAGTAGAAGGACTTTGGTATATACAGAGTAGTTCAGAAGATAAATTTAATTTTGTGGTGTGAAAATGACTTTTTAATTGTTTCTATTTGTTCTTTGTTACTATTCACTATAAGCCATATTAACTTTAGACTAAGCAATATTAGTTTCTCTTCATTGTGGAATAGCAACATGTGCATGTGAAATAGCATTTTGTTAAGCTAGTCAGAAAGAATCAGGAAAATTTTCTTAGTGTGTGAGTTTGCAGGCCAGCTGGAAATGCGTTTGCTTACTGTCAGTTGCACTGAAGTTGAATTAGATTGTAAATATAGTTCATTGTAAATTTTTCTAATCAGAGTAAGGTGGTTACTACTGGTTCTGAAATATAAGAGAAAAGAGGGAAAAAAAAAAAAGGGAATGTGCACATTATAGACCATGAAAATGGGAACATAGATGCCACAGTTGTTTAGAGAAATCTTGTTCTATAGTAAATGCAATGGGAGAATGATTGACTATGACACAGGAGATGCTCAAGTCAAAGTCTGACTGTGGGACAAAATCCTAGACATTTTAGCATATGATTGACAGTGACCTTAGCACTAGGCGAACTGTTAGGACCAGTAGCAAAGAAGGCTCTTTTAACAGTATTGGAGAACAAAGACTGAAGTGCAGTTTGTGCAGAGATGAAGACTGGTAATACCTGATTATTAATTCTGATATTTGTATTAGCATGTACCAGCAATAATGTCTTAGTCATAATTCAGTTTGTGTTTTCTCAAAAAAAAAAAAGGTAATTCCAGCTCAGCGGTTGATTGGCATGAAGAGTAATTCAGTGTAATAAATAAATGGTTTTATCTGAGGGGTTAGGCTTAGGTTAATTTTTTAGGAAATAGCTATTATTTTCATGCATAGCAGCTCACTAATAAAAAATTATATTTTAAATGTGTTTGACATAAATATGATTTTTTTTTTTCTGTGAGGAAATAGAAGCTTCAATTATAGAAAGAGCTGAAAAAATACGGTGTAAACTATGAAAGTTGGTTGTGGTTTTTTGTACGTTTAACCATTTTAACTGCTTTTCCAATGGGAAAATTCTTTGTGACATCCATAATTTTGCTTTCTAAGACAAATCTAGATTTTTAAGTAATGTTTATTACTTGAAAGTAATAAACTTTTATTACTTTCCTCTTATATCTGTTGCAGTATGCACTTCTGATTTTTGTGTTCTTCTACAGAAGTACTGCGATTTTATTGATGTTATGTAATGCTTTGGCTCGGGGCCTAATTCTTTGTTGGATTCCAAAGCCAAAACTTGCTGAGAAGAAAAAAAAAGATGCATTAGCAGACAGAAGCAGAAAAGTTGCAGCAAAGAAACATGAAAAAGCAAATGTCGTCCAGTCTTTTTCAGTAGATCCCAGTGGACTTCCTGATATCAAAGCTGCCTTAGAGGTACAAAGCCCTCATTTTTTTGTAGTCTTTTTTGGTCTGCTGTCATATATTACAATTCATACAAGTTAAATTGTAGACATTTTTGCAAAAAATAAGCTACCATCTTTTACAGTTCCTGCCACCACAGGTCCTCCCCAAACGCACAGTGAAGTTCCTTTCCAGCTGGGACTGAGTACTGTAACTTCTGTTTGCTGTATGATTTGACTTAATGGAGGTGTTGTTAGGCTTAGAGATGCATGTGCAATAATTTTAAAATAACTAATGGATGGCATGTTCCATACAAAAAGCTTTCCACATTTCTCCTGTCTTTCAGTTTTTTTCTTCTTCTTGGTGTTTAGATTTGTGAATTTGCCCTAAATGTGACAACTGGAACCGTATCTAATGAAACAGTACCTATTGCTGCACAGCAACAGATCATTGCTACGTGGGTGAAAGCAAAACAGTTACATCAGCAGCAGATCAGCTATAAACTTGGGACTGAGGAGGAGGTATTACTTCTCTGAAATCCTGCATAATGTTGAAACTTTTCTTTGAAAATTAAAATTAAATTCATAAATTAATTTAATAATGACTGAAATTATCAATGTGTATTTTCTTCTATATGTTTGAATACAGTATGAAAATACATTTTGGCTGTAGTTCCCATAAATCTTTACGGAATACAGCAAATTTTTCACATTGGGTGTAACAGTGAGTCTACATTTCTTAACTCTGCCTTCTGGTTTTAGCTGCCAAGAATAATGATGATGATGTTTGTCATATGATGACTGTATAACAAAGTTGGTTTTGAATTCATACATTTAAAATAATAAAATGGCTACATTAAAAAATGTTAAGAAAAATCAGCTATATTTATATCAACATTTAATATGGTCTCTTTATATATAGAATATGGACCTAGTAAGTTGGAAATTAATATTTTATTCCTATCTTTTTATTTTATTATGTCTATAAAACTAGAATCCCTCAGTGATATATGGAATTTACATTCATTGTATTGTTGCTCTGTTTTTTTTAATGTTGAAACTGTAGTAGTTCAGAGTTCACAATTTTAATTAAAAATAAATAAATACATGAAATCCCCCATTTTAAGACACAATAAAGAGAGGAAGACTTGCTTAATGCAGATTGAGGTTTTCAAACATAGTTATTACCTTTTCATCTCAATTAATGTCCTTAATAATGTTTACTTGCAAAAAAAAAAATCTATTAATGTGAATTTTTTATTTCTGCTTAGAATAATGATGAAGCACAAAATCCTATGGCAAGAATTCTTGTTGGTCTAGAAATGTATTCATGTAATGGCTTGGGTCTCATGGATTTCACTGTTCCTAGCTTATCTCAGGTATTTAGTTTTGTTTTATTAGCTCTCGAGTTTTAAGAAATTGCGTAGTATAAATGTGATTTCAGTTTCAGTTTTGGATGGAGGCAAAATTAATTCTGAAAATTTTATTGTACCATTATTTCCTTTAAAACTTCCCAAGAGATTGAATAGTTATGACAGGTGGAAGATTTTTGTGACTGAATATTTTCATTTATCCAAAAAACAGATAGCATTAGAATACCAGTATTAAAATTATTCCCATGTTGGTCTAACAGATTATTTCCATAACCATCAGATGAGCATAATGGATTCAGATGAATTCTGTATAGAACCATACTTCTGACTTTCCATTTTTTGTGGAGAAAACTTTAGCGAATCATAGAATCATAGAATCATTTAGGTTGGAAAAGACCCTTAAGATTATTGAGTCCAACTGTTAACCTAACACTACCAAGTCCACCACTAAACCGTGTCCCTAAGCACCACATCTACACGTCTTTTAAATACCTCCAGGGATGGTGGTGACTCAACCACTCCCCTGGGCAGCCTGTTCCAATGCTTGACAACCCTTCGGGTGAAGAATTTTTTCTTAATATCCAATTTAAACCTCCCCTGGTGCAACTTGAGGCCATTTCGTCTTGTCCTATCACTTGTTACCTGGGAGAAGAGACTGACACCCACCTCATTATAACCTCCTTTCAGGTAGTTGTAGAGAGGTATATTTTAGAGTTTGTATTGGAAATATGCAGAATTTCAACAGAAAACTTCATGTTATAGTGAATTTACTTTTGGCAGTTGCAAGGTAGAACACAACTACAATTTGTTACTATTTAAAGAACTACGTGGCTTTTTGATGAGTCTTATATGAGGTTTAGTTTCTTAAAGTACTTGCTTTTGATCAGTCTTCCATGATTATTCACGCTGAATTATGCCACACTTTTCCTGTGATTCTGTTGGTTACCAGGCTATTCAGGAGGAATAAAGGTGGTGTAGAAAGGTTTATACCCTCTATTTTCAAAACAGTGAGTTGTAGTCTTACCTGTTGGATTACCACATTTATAATTTCTACCTCCTGTAAAGAGCTTTCTTAAAGGACTAAGATGTATTTCCCCATTTAGCTAGGAATCTGGTGACATTTTTGAACACTTTCATAGAAGTCCTTCTTTCTAAAGTTTAGGATCTGTGTCCTTACAAATATATGGGTATCTAATTCTAGTTGCTCTACAGATTTATGCCAAATATTATGAGTCAGCTTTAGCTATTACTTCAGTGGCTTAGTTTTGGAGAGCAGTATTGTAGTATCCTCATTTTGACCAATTCATTAACAATTCCCTTTATCTTAAAAAGATAGAACTTTCTGACTGATGTATGCAAAAGCAAGGAAGACGTTTAGATGCCATAATGAAACTATATATGAAACACTGTTGTTGTAAAACCAGTTCCAGCTCCCATTCTTACCTTTGGCTTAACTAAAATGGACTGTGAATTTCAGAAGTCCTGTTCCACTGGTTTTCAGAAGAAGACTGAGGACGTGTAATACATCCTGGCAGATAGTGCTGGTCAAAAGGCACGCACACTTACAGCTGGATTTACATATACTATTCATATACTATTATAATACTTACTACAGGGTGAACGATGCTTCTCTATTGTATATTTTGATTGTTCTTGTAACTCTTTGGTTTTCTAGATTGTTTTATCACGTACTTGTTCCATGTCCACATGGATTGTATGGAACATACAGCTGTAAGCATGTAAGTGCTATAGAAAAGAGCATGATAAAAACCTGAGATTTAAACTCTTTTTTTTTCTTTTTTCTTTTCCTTTTTTTTTTTCCAGTTAGTGAAATTGGCTTTAGAATGCAGTTGGTCAGATTCCTTAGTGGAATTGCAGACACTGACACGACTTACATATTTTGCATATGTATCACATGAATATGAAATAGTGATGACTTGTTCCAGAAGGATCTTGCAATCAGATGAGAATTTTTTACAAAACAGAGATACTAAGAAATATGAAATGTAAGTACATGGAATTTTGCATGATACTGTGGTATACTTCAACTAAGTTTTGAAGAAAGAGTATATAGGGTAAATGCATCTGATCACATAATCAAAAGTGAAAGAATCTTTTTTACAAAGAAACTGTACAGTTAGAGATGAAAGTGAAATTTTCCTACTTCTGCTGACTCTGTCGTTGCCAGTTACTTAAGTACTGCAGATGATGTTTTAACTCTGCAGCGTAGCCTGAGTAAAAGGCAGTTTGAGATCCAGATTGTGGCTCTGGACCCAGTTCAGGAAGATAGATGAATTTTGTTATCCAAGTGAGTCAACAGGTCATATATAAATGTGCTTGAGTGTCTTCCTGGGGAGCATTGCTTTTCTGAAATGGTCTCTGGCAATCACGGTCTTTTCACACTTCTGTAATTTCCAAGCAGAAAGTAGCTTATTCCAGTTCTTTTGCTGATGCAAATTGCTTCCAACGCTGAACTGGCTCTAATACACAAAGGGTCTACACAGTTCATGGAACAAGATGGAGCTGTGAATGATAATAGGTGATAGCAGCTACTATATTCCAAGCTCCGGTGTCAGGTAGTCTTTATGGTCTGTATTACCGGCTATGCATATGGGTGCAATAGGAATGTAGCTCATTCCTTTAAAAGCCCAGTGTCTTCCTTAGCTGGTAGTTTAAAACTTTGATCTCAAAGAAAAGAAGAAAAAAAAGATTTCTTATATAGACGGATCTGTTGGTGGAGTCCTTTATTCTAACAAGGTGATATCCTTCAATCCTTCCATTTTTTAATATAATTTCCTCCAAAAACAGAATGTAATTTTATCAAAAGAGGAAGGAATCACTCCATTTAGTAACATTTTGTTGGAATGTAGGAAGTTTGAAATAAATATGTGAAACACTTCAAATATAATTTTTGTTCATTTTTCTCTCTGAAAAATAACTTCTCTTTTAAAAAAATATTCTCCTCTTTCAAGTTCGTGGTTGTTTGCTACATGGGGAAAAAAATGTAAACCCAAATAAGATATCTTAATATGAAATATATAGTTTCAGAACATTACAGAAATTGAGAAAATACTTGCTGCGTATCTAGCAATCTGCAAACTAGTGAATGATAAAATGTTTGATTCTTTGACAAAGAAATGTAGTCATGGATTTGTCAATGCTGTTTCCAGAGAAATGGAAGACAAAATTAGTCTTCTCATGGTAAAGCATAACTTCAGAACAAAGAAGGGTTAATTTTTTTTTAAAAACTTTTTTTTGTTGTTGTTAACTTGTACTGTAGAACACTGGTGTCCTCTCGTGGACACAAATCATAACTGCATGATAGTTCTCACCTCAGGGTAGGAACTAGACCAACTAGAATGTCTACGTTTCTGTATATGGTTGCACATTGTAACTAAGACATTGAAAAAAAATCTTGCAAATTGTATTACTTCTTTTCTTACAAAATCACTATTAACCAAAGTTATCAAATTTATTTACTTATTTATTTTTAACTGTTTAACTGCTGGGACTGAAATCTACATTCTTTTCTTTTAAATGTAGTGGAATATGATCCAAATCAATTTCTCCAAAGCCCGGTGCATACTTTACCAGACATAAGCGAGACCAATTCCAAAAGAGTATCAAAAATTGTCTAATTTTCCCTATTTCTGTTTTTAATTGCTTGCCATGTAAGTTTGACTTTGGACTAATATTTTGTTTGATGTATAATAGTGAATAATGGGGAGAAAACCCCAAATCTATTTTCTCCCCTTGCTAAATGTAGATAATAATTTTTTAATTCTGATTTCACAGTTATTTTCATTACGGCTGTGAAAGTGATACTTTATTCCTGATATCTTTTCACAAAATGTTCAGTTTTTCAAATATTTTCTGATTTTAAAAAGTCAACTTCCAAAGCTAGGGACATTTATTTAGTAACAATCTGAAAGCATCATTAATAGGAACCAGTATGTTCTTAGACTGTAAGACTAGCACTTCTTGAATTATTTGCCTTTATTCAGTAACAGAGTGAGACAAGAAATGTTAAGCACTACTGCCTGTATACAAGGAAAGAGTATAATGGAAAATTTGTCTGGAAGAAAACATTTGCGTGTGGCAGCATCAAGAGCCTTTGTTCAGAGTGCCAGGTATGTTTTATTTTGAGAGAAGACTAATACAAAACAAACCTAAACTTTGATTTACAGATTTGGGGATCAACGTATTCTCTCCCAAGACTGATAAAAATCAAAGTAGTTGTGAGTTGAAATGCTTAACAAACGATTTGACAGATTTTTACAGTTTAGTAAATTTATCAAGTACTATATCTTCCACATAGCTGATCTTGTAATGTCATAAGATCATAGGAAAATCTGGTTGGAAGGGACCTCAGAAGGGCTCTAGTCCAAACTCCTGCTCAAAGCAGGGCCGGCCCAGGGTTTTATGCAGTCTGGTCTTGAAAACCTCCAGGAACAGAGACTGCACAACCTCTGTGAGTAGCCTGCTCCACTGCTTGACTGTACTCATGGAGGAAAAGTTTCTGCTCATATCCACTCTGAACCTTTCGTATTTCAACTTATGCCCGTTCTTGCTTGTCCTGCCATCCACTGTGGAGAGCCTGTCTGCTGCTTGTCAATAACTTCGTTAGGTTATTAAGAAACTTCTCCGTGTTAGGTCCCCCAAAGCCAACTCTTCTCCATGCTGAACTAGCCCTGTACTCAGCCTCTCCTCTCAAGCAAGTGCTCTAGTCCGTGGATCATCTTGGTGGCCCTCCACTGAGCTCCTTGCAGTTTGTCCATGTCTAGCATGTGTTGGGGTGGCCTAGAACTGAATGCAGTATCTAGATGTGGTCTAAAGAGTGCTGACTAGAGGGTGATAATCAATTCCCTCAATTTATTGTCTGTTCCTGTTAATACAGCCCAGGATGCTGCTGTTGCCAGAGCATGCTGCTGGCTGGTTTTCAGCTTGCTGTCCACTAAGACCCCCACATCCTTTTCAGCAGAGCTACTCCTCAGCCAGTCAGTCCTCAGCCTCTGCTGTTGCTGAGCATCATATTAATATTGTGAACTGTATGTCATGAACCCAAAGTAGAAAGATTGATTTAAATAATGAATAGGCAGGAGAAGGTGATGCGTGAATGCTGCATGACTTTGGTATGAGTTCTTTGCTATTTGGAAGAGATAAATTAATGAGCAAAAGTAGGCAATTAGAACTCTTGGAAGATGAGCACGTGATGGCTGACATGAGGCTGTTAACATTGTAATACTTTCTTCCTTCCATTGATCACTAAAAAGAGAGTGATGAATTAAGTTAGACTAGCCAGTGTAACAGAAATCTAAGGTCATGTCATGTTGCGGATGAATCTGTATTTTTTTAGATTTGCATGTTATGACAAGCACTTTTTCAGGAAGGATTGAGCATATATATATATATATATATATCTCAACACATCCTGAAAGGGAAACAAGGAGTGGTGAGCAAAAACTAGGCCTTAATAAGTCTAGTGTTAAGACATAAGGTATGTGAGCATATGGACTCTAAAAATCATGAAACTGTGGGAGAAAATGATAAAGATCACCAGATTAAAAACCTACTTTTTGTAAAATAGTGAAACTATTCAATGGGTGATTGTTTAATACCAATCCATAATTTTTAGCTAAATTCTAAAGCTTTTGCTCACTCATATGAGTACTGTGTTGTATCACAATCTGGAGAATTATTAAATTTTATTAATTCAATGTAACATTTGCATGGAATATGCTCAAAACAATTTGAATGCAGCTAGAGGCATTCAGGGTATATTCTTGTGTTACAGTGGTACTGTACTATGCAAAATCCATAGCATTTTAATAATTGTCTTGTTCTATTTTGTAATGTTATTAGAATGAGAAATTAACATAAAAGGAAGCCAAAAAAGTAGATTATTCCAATGAGAACATCTCAAGTAGACTTCTACTATTTTCTTAATGAAGGCTCTTGAGCTAAGATTACACAGAAATACAGTAAAACCATCAATATGGTACTTGTTTATTGCTACTTCTGTTGAATGTGTGAAGGTGTTTTGTATATAAAAATGGAAAATACCTTTTGTATGAAGCTCATATGCTAACCCCTCATTGCTGAGATTATATATGGTGGTGCCTAGATCAAGTAAACCCAGATGTTTGTAGAAGTAAAATCCTTTATTTTGGCTAGAGTGTGATTGTTTTCCTTCATTAAGCTGTACTTCACTTTCTTCAGGTACGCAGGTGAAGCCGGAAATTATTCCCTTGTAATGTTTGCAGCTAGACACTTTTGGAACACATGTTTACCTTTGCTGGGTTCTCCACATGACAGAGAGCAGTTTAAAGAACCTACTGAAATAATTCTTAAGAATATAATTAAAGCAGAATCTAAAAATAAACAGGTAAGAATATCTAATAGGTATTGTTAATTGTGCTTGTGTTTAGTGATTGGTAGTGATGATAAAGAAAAAATCTGGTTTGCTCTGAAGCTCTGGGTGCATACTTCAAAATACCTTTCCTAAGAGGGGAAAGTGACTTATTTGTCATAAACACATATATCATTTCTTACCTGCATTCTCATAGCAGACGTTCACACATACAGGGAATCACATGCTCTTTTTTTCCATTTGGTGATTCTTCTGGTTTTAGGCAATTGTCAGACTTGCAACAGTTTTCTTCAAAATAATTTGCTGTCTGAAGGGCTGTAGTGTTTCACTTTGTGAAGCTTACAAAAGGGAATGTTTAGAAAATATTCAAAAGAAAATCCAGAAAAAAAATCTGTCACTTCCGGAAAGGATAATAGATCTTAAAACACAAACTCAGGAAAAAAAAAGTAAATAAATTAAGGTTCCCCACTTCTCTTCTACCCAAAAAGGAATTTCTACTGTTATCTTTAGTTTTTTAACAGACTATTTAGCACTTTGGCAGTAGGAAGGAGTTATAATTCAAACTGTGCTGGGAATCAGTGATAAAATTCAATACTTGTTGGTTATGAACAGCATGTGTAAACTGAAGGAGTCATCCCTTTGAAACAATATGTAGGTGGTGTGTATCATATAACACATCTCGCAATATGAAGTTTCTTCTGCACACTGAAACATCCCTACATATATACAACTTTTCTTAACTTCAAAATTCCCCAGAGCCTATCCATTTTTCTTTCTAGATTTGATTTACATGTCAGTGAAGCTGATGTGAGTTTTCCTGTGCATTTCCATGGGCACAATTTCAAGTAGAGCTTGGAGGGTTTATTAATAATTCTTGCATTCAAGCTCAGTGGTACCAATGTGATTCTGCATCTCAGATCATCAAGCAGTGTAGTACAAGAAAAGTAAAAGCAAGTACTTTACCACTGCTATTTCTAGCTTCCTTAAAACAAGGTTACAGATTGTTTTTTCTCTCAATTTGCTGTGGTCAGATTGAAGCTGTCCTTTACCCTTACGTTACTTCCACAGAATCGTAAAATCATAGAATGGTTTGGGTTGGAAGGGACCTTTAAAGATATCTAGTCCAACCCCCCTGCCATGGGCAGGGGCATCTTCCACTAGATCAGGTTGCTCAAAGCCCCGTCCAACCTGACTTTGAACACTTCCAATGACGGGGCATCCGCAACTTCTCTGGGTAACCTGTTCCAGTGTTTCACCACCCTCAGCATAAAAAGTCCCCTCCTTATTTCCAATCTAAATCTACCCTCTTTCAGTTTAAAACTGTTGCCCCTTGTCCTGTCACTACAGGCCTTGGTAAAAAGTCTTTCTCCATCTTTCTTGTAAAACCCCTTTCTATATTGAAAGTCTACAAATAGGTCTCCTCAGAGCCTTCTCTTCTCTAGGCTGAACAACCCCAACTCTCTCAGCCTTTCTTCATAGGAGAGGTGTTCCAGCCCTTTGACCATTTTTGTGGCCCTCTTCTGGACCTGCTGTAGCAGCTCCCCATCTTTCTTGTACTGGGGACCCCTGAACTGGATGCAGTACTCCAGGTGGGGTCTCAGCAGAGTAGAGCAGAGGGGGAGAATCGCCTCCCTCGACCTGCTGGCCACGCTTCTTTTGATGCAGCCCAGGTTACAATTGGCTTTCTGGGCTGCAAGTACACATTGCCAGCTCATGTCCAGTTTTTCGTCCACCAGTCCTTCACCGCAGGGCTGTTCTTAATTCATCCCCCAGTCTGGACTGATATTGAGGATTGCCCCAACCCAGGTGCAGGGCCTTGCACTTGGCCTTGCACTTGGCCCTTTGCACAGGCCCGCTCCTCAAGCCTGTCAAGGTCCCTCTGGATGACATCCCTTCCCTCTAGCACACGAACTGCAGCACTCAGCTTGGTGTCATCAGCAAATTTGCTGAGAGCACACTCAATCCCATTGTCTGTGTCACTGATGAAGATATTAAACAGCATTGGTCCCAGTATGGACCCTTGAGGGATGCCACTCATTACTGGTTTCCACTTGGACATTGAGCCATTGACTAATTCTTTGGACATGGCCATCCAGCCGCTTCCTTATCCATCTAACAGTCCATCCATCAAACCTGTATCTCTCCAATTTAGCAGCGAGAAGGTTGCTGGGGACCGTATCAAAGGTCTTACAGAAATCCAGGTAGATGACATCCATAGCTCTTCCCTTGTCCCCTGATGCAGTCACTCCATCGTAGAAGGCCACTAGATTAGTAGGACTTCGTGCCTTCACGGAAGTAAATGCTGTTTTGACCAAATCTGATAAATCTTTGATGATGCTAATGTAATGATTACACAAAAGTTGTAGCTACAGATCAGATGATTTATTACCGTAGTCCTTTATGTATTCAGTGGTCAGTATATCAGTAGAAATGTATATGGATCTATTTGTGAAACAAGACAGTGAATTTATCTTTGAAGTTGCAAAACTGTGCTGTAGAGGGGAGGGAAACAGTTATCATGTCTCTCACCTTTGGGTGAGAATTGTGATGGTCAATTTTTCACAGGTAAAGCCAGCTAACCAAAATGGGACAAGAGACATTAAGTCATAATTAAAAACGATCTGAAAATAGTCTGAAAAAATAAGCTGTTACTCATTTTTGACCAGAGAGGTTGTGGAGTCTCTGCTTGGAGTACTCAAAAGATGACTGAACAAGGCCCAGAGCAACCTGCTCTATTTCAGCCTGCTTTGAGCAAGGGTGTAGACTAGAGAGCTCCAGAGGGTCCCTGCCAACTTCAACTGTTCTGTGATTCTCTGACAGAGACTTCAAGATTTCATGTTATTTAATCAGTGTAACTGATTGAATATTACTGAGTCTGGTTAGTGCTGTATTGGTTTTGTATTATAGAACTCATTCTGGAGAAATGCCTGTGGTTTTCATCTCCTGCACAAGTAGCTATTTAAGTAACAGGTTAATAGTTCATATTAACCGTATGAATTGGTTTACAAATGAAACAGAAGTACAGTAATACTTAAAGACATATGTTAACTGAAAGATAAAGGGCTTTTTTCTGCTTTTTTTTTTCTTTTTTTTTTGTGCGTGTTTTTAGGAGAAGAAAGATACGTTGCCTTTGCATCAGTGGATTACAAAGGATTTTCAAAGTATTGGGTTATCAGTTGGATGCTTTCTACCAGGCATGTTTTTCCTTTTTTTGATCTGGTAATAAAAAAAACACCCAGTATTTTGTAATATCATTATTCTAATTCTGCAGTATATTAATAAATCATTTGAATATACTTCAAAGGTGCTGAGGAAGATCTGACATTAAGAACCTCCCTATATGGGTTATTATTCCACATATATGCTGATAAAGCTGATTGGGAGACAGCACTAAAAGTCCTGGATGAAGCTATTCAAGTTTTGCCTCAGACAAGACACAGGCTGTAAGTTGGTTGACTTATTTTTATTAAAATAAGCATCCTGATTCTTGAGAAGTATAAAACTCTGAGTATTTTTTTATTTTGCATTGGGAAAATATTGATTACTTTTTGTCAGCTTGTCAGTTCTTAGAAAACACTGTTGTGTCTTTTCAATAAAAAAGACGTACGTTGGCAGTGCTTCTTATCGTTAATCTGTTCGTAATATTTGTAAATTTCATTTTTTTAAAACTTGTATATAAGTAGTGTCTTACTTTTCCAAGAAAATAGGCCATGAAATGTGGCTATATAGCAGAAACTTTAATTTTCCTAGCTGTAAACCATTTATGTTAAATGGAAACTAAATTATCTAGGGTACTGTTTACATAGTCTTATCCGAGTTCAAAGATTTATGCCCTTTTATGTCAGTTTATGAACTTTACATCTCTGTACTATACTGATATGAACTAGTATATCTGTCCTACTCACAAAGTTACTTTACAGGTACAGATGCAAGTAGTTTGCAATTTTTTTGGTCTTTTTCTAGCCTGATTTTTAAACATATGGCTACAGTGAAGGCAGGATTGGGATGCAATTTTACGATGGACATTCAGAAATTCAGCGGTGAAAGTGAAGATTATTTGTCACATATGTGGCGTCATTTGGTAACAGTCTCCAGAAGTGTTGTTGGACAGTTAAGCTGTTTTCAAAATGCAATTATTGCTTTACAGGTTTGTCAGTTTTTACTATATGCTGATGGAGTGATGTTTCTCAAGTGATTCATGGGATTGCAAGTTCTGTGAAGTATAGAATTGAACTGGTAGGAAGGCCATATACTACTTGACCATTACTTTTTATAACTTCAAAACTGCTCTTCAGTTGGAAAACTGTGTATGGTTGAATCTTGGTATCCGGTAAAGTTCAGCTGAGTCCCGTCAAAGAAAAATGTCTAAGAGTAGCCAATTGCAAGAAGTTTTGATAAAGCAAAGAATTAACTGGTAGAGTTTTCTGTTACATTCTGTTTAGCATAACTCTGATTATGTGATGCCAATAAAACTGCTTACTGTCAAATGATTATTTTTTGCTTCTGTTAAGACTATATTGAACTTTTGAATATAATTTCTATGGTTTACATCACCTCTTGCTTTATTACTGTTACAGAAACAAGAAAATGAATGGCAGAAAGTTGATTATCTGATGGAATTTGCTGAATGGTTATATTGTAACCAGTTTCCCCTCAATGATGTTATTAAATCTCTGGACTGGGTAGTAGATCTCTTGCTACATATGAAATTTTCTATGCAATCCTCACAAGAAGAAGGTATGTAAAAAGTGTATATCCTTCAGAGGAATTTCTCAGCAGCAAATGCAAGGGATATTTTTAATTTACAACTTAGTTACCGCAAAGAATGGCACCAGCTTGGCTGTACTTTCTCCAATATTCACTGTCATTTGTTCAACACTAGTTTAAATACATCTGGGAATTCTGTGTCATGCCATGGAGACCTACCCTCAATCTTTTGGTATAGTAAAATACAGCTCCTATCTGACATAGGGGTTCCTGAGTTGTGAGATGCTACCAGAAGGCAGTGCTAGGCAGTTTGTTTCAAATACATCCTCATGGAGGGCCAGATGTAACTGTAGGAAATGGTTTCTGTGCCAAGATTTGTGTGCCTATGTCCATTGCTCTTTCCTTGGCTTTATCTAGTATTTTAGGATTGATTTTTCAAAAATTACTTTCAAAGGGATGTACGCTTTCAAGTACTTATGTAACTCTGTAAAAATTCTTTGGTCCTTTTACTTTGTGTCCACTTGCAGTGGTATGGACTCAGTGACCTATTTTGATAGGATACCCCATTATTTAATTGGGAAAAAAAAGTATCTAATTTCTGGAACAATACTGTACTCTGTGGCATTAATCAACATCTGCTCTGCCCTTATTTTTGTGTGGATAGATGAGATAGATGAGACAAGTACTTCTGGTGTTTGCATTGAAGAAGACAAATGTTCGGTGTCTCTAGTACCACACATTTGATTAAAGTCACAGTAGCAATAGTCTGTTCATACTTTTCTGTTAGTGGTTTTGTTGGGTTTTTTTACAGCCCTGTGGCGATTTAAAGTTTGTACTTGTTCTTTAATGATCTTCCCACCCAGTTTCACATAGTTGCTTATGATTACTGAACTTCTTACACTGCCTATGTTTCAAGAAATTTTTTACAAAACTTTTAATGGAAACTGAAATAATATAATAAGAAAAATGAGATTCAAATATAAAACAGCCCAAGTTGGAAGGGACCTCCAAAGATCATCTGGTCCAACCTTTTGTGGAAAAGGCAGCCTAGATGAGATTATCTAGCACCTGTCCAGCTGTGTCTTGAAAACCTCCAGTGATGGGGGACTCCACCACATCCCTGGGGAGGTTGTTCCACTGGTAGATTGTTCTCACTGTAAAAAATTTATTTCTTATATCAAGATGAAACCTCTCCCAGTGCAACTTGTACCCATTGCCCCTTGTCCCCTCCGTGTGGCTTCTTGTGAAGAGAGAACGTGTCTTCTTTGTAGCTGCCCTTTAAGTACTGGAAAACTGTGATGAGGTCCCCCTGAGCCTTGTCTTTTCCAGAGTGAAAAGACCTTAACTCTTTAAGACTTTTTTCATAGGGCAGGTTCTCCAGCCCTTTGATCATCTTTGTGGCCCTCCTTTGAACAGTCTGTCGTCCGTCCGTGTCTTTTTGATTTGTGGGAACCAGAACTGGACACAGTAGTCCAGCTGCAGCCTTACAAGCACTGAGTACAGTGGGTGGGATGGTCACATCTCTGTCTCTGCTAGTAATGCCTTGCTGATGCAGCCCATGATCTGACTTGTCTTCATTGCTGTGGCACCACACTGCTGACTCATGTTTGGCTGGTTGTCCACCAAGACCCAGGTCCCTTTCAGCTGCTCCCCAGCTACACAGATCCTTGTCTGTACTGGGCTCTTTGGTTATATTGTCCCAGGTGCAGGACCTTGCACTTGTCTTCATTAAACTTCATAGTTCTTTCTAGCCCACTTTTCCAGCCTGTCCTGGTCTCTCTGTAAGAAGGCTCTTCCTTCTGACGTGTCCACCTCACCACCCAATTTGGTGTCATCAGCAATCTTGGTGAGGGTTCTTTCAATCCCATCGTCCAGATCATTTATGAAGATGTTGAACAGCGTGGGTACCAGTCCCTGGGAGACCCCACTTGTGACAGGCTGGCAGCCTGAGTGAAAACCATTGATCACCACCATCTGAGTGCAGTGGTTAGCCAATTTCCTACCCATCTCGCAGACCACCTATCCTGTCTGTATCTTGCCATCTGTATCTTTTAGTGTGAAAGAATAAAAATCTGTCGAACTGTCCCTTTCCCTAACTTTATACTGTTAGGCATGCTCAGAATTCACTCGATTTGCCTGTTACTTTAATAACTTCATCTGTGACAGTCATTGGATTATGTGATAGGTGTTATGTTACTGCACTCTGCTTTATGTTGTAGAGCATCAATTTGATGTTGAAAGAGAACTGTGCCTTTATAGTACTTCACTTTAAGCTGAAAATCTGCTGAATTGCTTGGTTTTGAGCTGAATTTCAAACAGAGCTGGAATTTCTGTAAAACATCAGTGTTCACTGAAAAATTACTAGAATTATACAGCACACAAGTGGATTGAGTAGCAGAGTATCTTCTGTAGTTGCCATCAAGAGCCATTAAGATATGTTGTTACAGACATAGGGGTGAACTTGAGCTATGTTCTAGACTTAGTTGACATTGACCTATCTGTAATTGGATTGTTGCCCATTTCTGCTTTGGAAATGAGTGCTGGCCAAATACACTTCTTGCCGACTAGGCTACTGGTAGTTAGGACATGGTCTTTGGTCACTGTAGAAACCACTACGTCAGGATCAAGAGGATTTTTGATTTAACTGCAACACTACTGAAGTGGCTGGAATAAATAAGTTAGACCGTCTTTCCCACAGATTTATTTTCAAGAAGACCTAGTTGAAGTGTGCTTGCTGTGGATTTCATTTTTGTGTCAGACTTAAATCATTTAATATTCATAACTGTAACATTATTCATTGAAAACTTGGTACAAGTAGCATTGCATCACCATAAGAAGAACATCTTCAGTAGATAGATTTCAATTTTTCTGTTTTTTTTCCATAAATATTTTCATTTTCAAGTCAGAAATTTTAACTTTTGAATACATTTTTTAAATACTCTCACTGTGAGCATGTTATTTGTTTTTTAACAGAAAAAAATACTACACCAAAATTTTCACCTACAGAAAATTTGAAGATAGACATTGGAGCAAATGATACCATGCCCCAAATTAATTTAGAAGATTTGAGTAATATTAAACAATTGGAAACTTTGTTTAGAGCACAGACGTTAATGGCTTTAATTTCTGGTCATAGTTCTCCTTTTCATCAGCAGCACTGTTTGATGGCATATGCTTGTATCATCCGTATCTGGCAGGTGAGATTGGATAAGATTGTATTATATTATATTATAATGGGGCCAGTATATTTCAAGTTATCTTGTGTAATTATGGTGCCAGCTATTCATTTGATGTTTTAACTACGTCATTAGAATTTCCAATTTTATGGTATAGTTAGTATATTTTCTCAGGTTTAAGGATTAAACAAGAAAATTTTTTCTCTCAGGAAAATAAGAGAACAGACGTTAGGGATAAAATCAGTGGCCCATTGTTTCTCTGGAGTACGTTCATACATTTCATGCAAAAGGTTCTAAAATATTGTATTTTTAACTTGTTAAATAATCTTAGTAGTGGCAGAATACATGCTGAAGACATTGCTGACAGTTCTGAGGAACGGTAATTACAGATAGACCTTCACTTAGGCTGAATCAAAGGGGCTGTCATTTGACTGAAAGGATTTGTGTGACATAGTTAAATTAAATTCAGATGTTGATTCGTTTGTTAAGTTTTGAGAAAAAGTATAGACAGGCAGTGTTCACTGATTATTATTCTATAATCACTTTTTCATTGTTACAGCATTTCAAATCAAACAAACCTATTTCATTTCTCATTGACATGAATGCCTAATTTAAATGGCTATTGAGAATCATAGCAAAAATCATAGGAAAATAATTATACATTAAATATGAGTGAATCTTTGAAGTGACTAAATCTATACTTGATAGTAGTAATGCCACAAATCATTATAGAAACAATCTTAGTGCTATAGATGGGACATATCAACTAGATTGGTAAGCTATAGCTTGTGCATAATTTTATTCCAATTAGCTGTAAAAGCCTGCAATTTGTTACTCCTGTGGTAATTATGATCAAGTTTTCATTGGCGAATCAGTTTAGACTCTAACATTTGATGGAAGACAGGAATTTGAAAAAGAAAAATTGGTTATTGATATTTTAAGATTTTACGTAAGCATAATTTTTAATATCCTGAACTTGACTGTCTGAGTGTCTTACTAGAGAAAAAAAATATCTGAAAGGAGTATTACTGTTTGAATAAACTATTAAAAGTTAAAAAATTAAGAGTTAATGCAGCTGTCGGTGCCAGCTGTAGGACAATGACAATAATCCTAAGAACTCATATTTGCAGCCGAACAGTACTGTGAGAAAAAGAATAACCATGTGGCATTAAGGAATGAAAGTACTAGGACAGCTTAACCTTGTTTTGGAGTAAAAGTAAAGCACACTTGACTGCAGATGTCCATTTCTAAAGCAGTCTCTCAAGTGTTAGGACTCCATAAATAACTCGGTAGAAGATATTAAAATGTTCTCTGAAAACCTGAATAATCCAAGCCAAATCAGCTGCCTCTGACTTTTTTAAAGACACGTGTTACGTTTAATATGAAATTTTCACAAGTTCTGCAGCACCCAGCATTATTTTTTTGTTCATATTTTGTGTTCTACTCTTGATCCCTCCAGCAAAATATATTCATTTTCTCAATTAATGTGTTTTTGGTATTTTAGGGAAGATCAGAAGCTGTGCTATTGCATGCGCAGAGAAATTTTCTATGGATGTTTTCATATGCTTAGATATTTAGAAATGTCTTTTTTATAATATTCATTAGTAGCATTATAGAAGACTAATCCAGAAGGAGAACAGAGTGGCTCTTTGCAGTCTTCCAGATTACTTTGATATGAAATTCATCCTTTGTAGAAGATTAAGCAATCTAGACTAGCGGTTTTAAAAAAAGAATTGAATTTGCAACCATATAGGTTAAAAAAGTAGCAGTAGTATTTATCACAGGGATGATGTCATCTTTTGACAGTTCAGCTGCTTAAGTGCATTGTCATGATCATCCTAAATGCTTGCACAAATAATGCTTGCAAGCATCTAAGAGTCTTTGAAATTTTAGTTTTCTGAAGAAAGCTCTTACACAAACATAACATGGTATGTGACAATTGCTAATAGCTGTAGATAGTGACTTACAGTGAATAATCATTATTACTAGAAATTGACATTGTTATTGAAAATTGAAAATAATTAATTTTAATTATTATCTAGGTATCGTTGTCAGCATCAGGACCTATTACAAAAATATTATCAAAGTCTTCACAACTTACAGCTCCTCAGAAGGTACAGTCAATAATTGCTCCTAAAAAAGAGAAAGACAAAAAGAAAGAGAAACAAGTAAGAACCCCTTTCCTGTGGAATTAAAACAATCATCTCTTTCTAAGAGATGTTTCCCTGGGCTCATTTGTTAAATAGTTCAGATGCTTTCCTGTAAAGACTCTCATAACCTGTGAACAATTTCTCTGTGAGTCTGTATATCTTACCTTTACTCTTGGTCGCATGGACTTGGCAGGTCATAAAATTGCATATACTTTTTCTTTTCTTTTGTTTGTTGCATTGGTCAAAATACTGCTGTTTCGTAAAACCCACAGTCTAGAGGTCAAAAAAAAAAAAGACAAAACTTCAAAGGATATTAAGCAGATACCTTTTTTTTTAATGTTAGCTGAATATTTAATACCAACAGGAATGTTAATGTGGCCTCATAAATGTCCTTATTTTTATTATAGGTTGAAGTTTCTGTTGTGAAAGAGAAGCCTAGAGGGAAAGGATCGGTTGATACCTTACCAGCAAATGTGGAAGAATGGGCTCATTATGACTGTCCCAATGAAATAAAGAAGCAGATACCTTTTTTTTTAATGTTAGCTGAATATTTAATACCAACAGGAATGTTAATGTGGCCTCATAAATGTCCTTATTTTTATTATAGGTTGAAGTTTCTGTTGTGAAAGAGAAGCCTAGAGGGAAAGGATCGGTTGATACCTTACCAGCAAATGTGGAAGAATGGGCTCATTATGACTGTCCCAATGAAATCAGAGATACTTTTAAACAGAAAACAAATAGTTACGGTATTAACTGGGATAATTTCCCAAAACCTGTAAGTGTACTCCTCAGAATTTGTCGTGGTTTAACCCCAGCCAGCAACTAAGCACCATACAGTTGCTCGCTCGCTCCCCCCGTGGTGGGATGGGGGAGAAAATCAGAAGAGTAAAAGTGAGAAAACTCGTGGGTTGAGATAAAGACAGTTTAATAGGTAAAGCACAAACCGTGCACGCAAGCAAAGGAAAACCAGGAATTCATTCACTGCTTCCCATGGGCAGGCAGGTGTTCAGCCATCTCCAGGAAAGCAGGGCTCCATCACGCATAACAGTTACCTGGGAAGACAAACGCCGTAACTAGGAATGTCCCCCCCTTCCTTCTTCTTCCCTCAGCTTCATATGCTGAGCATGACGTCATATGGCGTGGAATATCCTTTTGGTCAGTTCAAGCCAGCTGTCCCAGCTGTGTCCCCTCCCAACTTCTTGTGCACCCCCAGCCTACTCGCTGGTGGGGTGGTGTGAGAAGCAGAAAAGGCCTTGACTGTGTAAGCACTGCTCAGCAATAATGAAAACATCCCTGTATTATCAGCACTGTTTTCACCACAAATCCAAAACATAGCCTCATACTAGCTACTATGAAGAAAATTAACTCTCCCCTAGCCAAAACCAGCACAAAATTCTAGAGCATTTATTATTTAGGAAAAAAATGAGTAGCAGCAAACTATGTTGCATTTTAGTTTTTCTGTCTGTGCAATAAAAGTATGTTCAGGCAGCTGTCAGAGATACTTCCTTGTCATAGTATTCATTAGTACTTCAAAAAGTGTTAGTCTATCCTCTGCATTCTGAAATGAACTTAATTTACAGAATAAATTTACTGGCTTTCTGTGTACCTAGCTGCTTTTTCAGCTTGAAAGTTTGTATAATTTTTTTTTTTAGTAAGGTTTGGAACTGAAGATGTAATCATTAATTTAAAATTTATTCTCTACAAAATGATGTTTATACTGATTGGATAAAAAAAAAAAATTTCTTTTCAGACTTGCACTTTGTATTTTATGGACCTTTTATCTAAAGAACTACAGAAAATTTTTTGCCCCCACTTGATTCTTCCCGTCTTTCAGCTAGCTGAAGTTATTGCTAATGAAGTTGTGGAATGTAGAAGTCTGTCTGATCTCTATCACCTTCGGTTTGTATCCTTTATTTATTTTAAATAAAAGAGAAACTGAATGGAGTGGACCATTACTAAATAGTAACAAGGCTTTTTGTGACTTACTGGTTTATATTTGTAATGTTTTTTATTTCTTTTCATTCCTTTTTTATACATTTCAATAGAGTTTTGATGACTTGGCTTGCTTGTGGAATTAAAGCCACTAAGTTTATCTGTTATTAAACATGATCTCCATGGGGAAAGGTGTACAAGATTATGAACTGAAGCCATTTTGATGTGAATAATTTTTGTAATGCCTTACTGTCACCTAACTGAAAAAAGCAAAGTCCAAAATAATTTCAATAAAAGTATTATCTTTTAAGTATTCAAAAGGCAGAGTCCCATGTTGCATCAAAAATGTATTGTCTATAGCTTAAGAACCCAAATAAATATCCCCAATAAGCGCACGCTCTTGTAGAGATTTGCCTTTGTGACCAAAATTCTGTTATTTTTATGGGTGATTAGCCCTAAAAGTTTTGATTCGAAAATATTTAATATGCATGCAATGGCAAATTATTGCTGTTTTAGTTACAACATTTCATTGTGCTTTTCTGAAATGTATTGCATAATGTTTGCTTAATAATTAAGTTGTAAGCAATAATTGCTTAATTCCTGATAGTTTGTGAAATGCCACAGATTTCACATATTTTTAAAATGCCTGAAGCTGATCCCACATACCAGAATAGATAAATATTCATGTATACAAACATACGTGTGTTTATCTGGATTGCCAATTGATTACTGACTTACTGTCTTACAAGACTAAAAGTGATTTACTAATAGGAAATAGATTTGCAGCCAAGCTTTGCAAGACAAATTTTTTTGTTGACTCCTCAAGATTTGTTTTTATTTCATGGTATTTTATTTATATCTATGACCTGATTTTTATTTATGATCAGATAGGTGTACATGAATATATTACTCTTTACTCAGTAACAGAAAAGTAGGTTAGCACATACATATATAAGGGGGGTTTTTTTGCATGCTGTAGTGAGACCATATTATAAATATTTTCATACTTTTACCACATAATTTTTGCCGCTAAATTGGAGAGATACAGGTTTGATGGATGGACTGGGGATACTAGTGGATGCCCCGTCATTGGAAGTGTTCAAGGTCAGTTGGACAGGGCTTTGAGCAACCTTTTTGTAGTGAAAGATGCCCCTGCCCGTGGCAGGGGGGTTGGACTAGATTATCTTCAAAATGTGCCTTCCAACCCAAACCATTCTATGATTTTATGACCTCTATCAATGGGTAATTTCAACTACTGCATTTCCCCTTTTTTTTTATTTAAAATTTTTGTTATTGCCAATATTAATCAAGACATAAGAAGGTAGGATTGACAAATGTGGAATGTATGCTCTTTATATATGATGTGTTTATATGAAGCAACATATGAAAGATTCTGATTGTTTCTTAAACATTTCTTCTTTTTATTCTTAGAATTGCCCTGATATGTTCAGACCTAAAACTGAGTCAGGCATCTTTGTATCATGAGAAAGCTGCTGGAGAAGCATACATTAATGAATTAGAACAAGCAATGTATGTATTTTCACTACAGAGGCTGTATTTTGTT